GCCACTCTAAACATTGAGACGTTAAGACCTAGAGCGCCAACGCAGGGACCTGAATAAATAGAATAGGGTTTTGGGGTATGGTATACTGTGGATATAAGGATGAGCCCCAACATGATACAACTGATTACTCAGGTTTCGAAATTAGACGTATGTGAACGGGAGCTGGTCTGGCATGCATGTGTGCACACGGAGGCTCTCTTGACTTGGCATGTTTTAACATGCTACATTGCATTGCAATATACTGTATCGCATTTTCTGGCTACTTTTAGATTGCACTATGCTATTCTTATGTTGTACTAGATTTTACTATGTTGTGTGATGTTTTACTATGCTGTATTGCTCATGCTATATGGGATTACTGTATATTATATGACACTGTACTCTATGCTATGATACTACATTTCACTATACTACATTATACTATGTATACATATCGTATGTGACTATATTAAATCATATTATGCTATACTAGTCGCTAGGCCTTATGCTATATCAAGCTTCATTGTACTATCTTACACCTTATACAACGGATGTTATATTGTACTATACTATACTGTATTTTTCGATACTAAGTTATATTGCTCTATATTGTATTATGCTTTACTATATTATTGTGCTATGTCATATTGTAAGATTCTATCATGGTATGTTCACAGTGTGCTTGCTATAACCCAGGAGCACTCCACACAGTCTGTTCTTTGAACCTCTACTTATCTGGGAGTTTCCGAAACTTAGGGATCCTACAATTTAGGGTACTATATTAGGGTCCCTACTGTCGGGTACTCTAATCTGAGGTTTGCAACAAACCGCTTTTTCTCCCCATGAACCTCCAAGCAGAAAGTCAAGAGAGCTTCCAAGCAACATGACAGCCAGGAAGAGGGTGAGACACCCTGTGGGTTTCGGGTTCCGATAAGTCTTGCTTTATGTCGTTTCGAGGGTAACATATAGGTGTTTTGTGAGAATACGGTCCGTTTTTGGGTACCCTAAATAAGAGGTGCCGCATTAAAATAGGGACCCCAAAAGGGACCATAATTTTGGCAACCACCCATATGTATAGGGCTTGAATAGTTGATGTCCAGCGGTCTTTTTTAGGTCTCCCAGTCATCCTATCATATACCCCCAAACCCTACCCTAAATTATCAATGCCCCATGCTAGGGTTTCAGGCTTGGGGTGGGCTCTGGACAGGATCATAATACGGGGGTCAGCGCTGTTTTGTGGATGTTCGCTCAGTTTTTGCATTGCGGTTTTCTGCGAAGACTAATAGAGCAACGACCTCATCCTAACAGCACAAATCTTTCTAATCACGCTACCCATCGCACCCCTATCTAAACTCATCCAAGCCTGAGCGTAAACCTTACCTTATTGAACGGCAGCTGAGCTTAGCACACAAAGCACTTCCCGAGCGGTTCCAGCTCCTATTGACGGCCAGGCAATGTTCAGGCTTTAGAGTTATCGTTTTGGGTTCAGGGATTCAGGGTTCAGAGGTTGTTGGATGTTTGGGCAACAACGGCACTGCCAACCCTGGTATTATACCAGAAGATGAGTCAGGGGAGCAGTCTTCTAGGGTGCGGCATTTCGGTTCTTCGTGGTCTATAGTGGTTACAAGCTTTAATCTCTAAAAGGGGAAAAGGAGGGACCCTTAATGGGGACCCTACCCTATAATGGGCTATACAATGGGTATATAGTAGCTTTCTTAAGGGTATATACCTAGGGGTCCTTACTAAGGGTCCCTCCTTTTGCCCTTTGAACCTCGTGAACCCTTGAGCTGGAAGGAGCCTGGACAAGTAAGCGAGAGTTTTCGATTTCCTGCAGGATAATAACAGGCGGGTCTCAGCGAAAGGGACCTCGAATGGCATCTCTATAGGGATAAGTTTGAGTAGTAGCGAGCGTAACGAGGTATGCCTATTTCTCTAAAACTCACACATGCTACTGCTCCGGAATCTTGGAGGGATGTACACCGGCGGACCTTCGATCAAGCGCAAAAGCCCAAATCAGCTCGGGCTTCTACTTTTTCTGAGCGATCGTTTTATAGGCGCTCTATGAGAGCTATGGGGTTTCGGGTGTTGGGTTTAATTGAAGGATATAGGCATTCGGGTGCCCAAGACAGGGATAGTTCTCTAAATTAGGGTTCCTTTCTAGGCCACCAGGCTAGTGCAGCACCCTTAACTTAAAAAAAAAGGACAGAACCCTCAAGGAAACCCAAATTCAGAAACATGACACCCAACATTGTTGGCCCAACATGAGCTTGGTCCAGCCTAAACCGTAACGCGCTTCGGGTTCAGGGTGCAGGGTTTAACGGTTTAGGGTTCAGGGTTTGGGGTTGAAGCCTGAGTAATTATACCAACACTATATTCCACCAGGATTCTTTATTATGGTTATAGGATAACGGACCTCAAAACCATAGTTTAATGATAACTCAGGCTTCTCTAGTGAACTGTGACCCCTGAATCGGCACCCAACTATGACCGCACCGAGTAGCTTAGTTCTGCGTTCCTTGCCCTCCGAGCCTTGCCTCCTGGCAGTCGCCTTTGCCCGTTCCATCCGTGCCATGCCCATGGAAAATATCCTGGGTCGCATCGGGTCCTTGCATGCGGAATTCTCAAGGGCCTCAAAAGGTGGGATGAAGGTAGGAAGCATGAAGGATCCCTTATATATTGGGCTCCTATTTTTAGTTGGGAATCATCCCACCTATCTTCATCTCACCTTTGGAGCCCCTTGAAATCAACTTGTTGCCTCAATCTGTCAACTATGACTCCCGGAGTGTGCAATCTGCGTCCGGGTGGCAACCGTTTGAGCTGAGGTTGAGAGTCCGACAGCGTCGAATTCCTCATAGACTCCAAAGCGACGCTCTGATTCAGGGTTTAGGGTTCAGGGTTTAGGGTTTAGGGGAGTCTGAATCCCGAGTTGTTGTCGCCAAACCCTAAACCCTAAACCCACTGTCAGCCGTGTGCTGATGCCGCTGGCACTGAGCTTTCTGACTGTAGCAGACGGAGAAGATATTCAAAGAATAAATCCACCGCTCCAGCCATGGTACAGAATGTAACCCTACCTGTGAAACCCTTTGCTGCTTTATTTTTGCTCTTCCGGAAAAAAACATTTACCACGCATAAAAACGTTTCCCAAACGAAAGAGCGGAAAGCAGCGGGGAGAGAGCGGAAAGCAGAGTTTGAAACATGTGGAAGTGTGTGCTGACAGGTTCATTGAAAGAGCGATTCTGATAACAAGCCACATTCTCCAGAGAGCGTTTTCGCCTGGGCCTTTCCCAAGTCTTGGCTTGATATAACAACAGAGTTGTATCGATGCAAAGCCGAGTTTTGAAATAATCAAATGCGACCTACATGCTTCCCGTCACACAAGAATAAGTAGAAATAGTTGTAACCCAGATACAAGTTTCCTTGAAAGCCCACACCAACAGCCAGGACGAATCGAGGTGTTGAGTTGCATAGAGCTCAACATATAAGCTAGATACAGCCTGAGTGTGCATCGATCAAGATTGAATGGGTATCGATCGTGGTTATAAACCTATATGATATATAGCTACAACAGTGTGATTCGACATGTCATGATGGCGACATCGATCTGCTCATGGAGGCACGCTCTCCTTGCTCGCTGTTGCTTTGATTGCAAGCGGTTGCACGGTGAAGTTGGTGAGTGCATGGGCCTGCATTCACATTGATGTGACCCGATCTGCCTAGCTGCTTTTGGTTCTGGTGGGCATAGCTAGGTTTCCTGCTTTCGCTTGCCATGCCTTTTTCGACCGTGGTTGGTTTGCTGGCGAATGTTTCGGTGCAAAGCATTTCGCTTTGCCAGCTCGAAGGACAAGTGTTGATTTTAGACAATGGGTTAAATTCAGGCTTGTAAATTATAGACCTCTCGAGTGTGCAGGACTGATGGAGATGGACAACCGCTTCTGGGTGGCATGCTGCCGGGCCATGTACAGCTTGGAGGACGATGCATGATCGAGGGTTTTCATTTGTCAAGACACATATCTGCAATGGTTTGGAGGACCCACCGACATCAGGGGACCAGATTGTGGAGAACGTCGTTGACAACATTCGTCATAAAGGTATCTGCTTGCACTTCCGGCTTCTCTTCGGGGAGATGTGCACCTATCCGAAAACAGCAAGGGGATCCTATATAGTCACGAGGTACCCTTAGAAGCCCAAACCCGAATTCCTTTAGGTCGTTTTCACTCTGCATTAAGAACCCCAAGCCCGAAACCTTAGAAGATATCATAAACCCTGCAAGCCCGGACATTCTGGGTTTTGCTTCCCCGCACGCAACATCCCAGGCAGCCGCGGGATTTGAGATCCTCACGGCAGCAGATGACTTCCATGGTCGTGCGGCCAGCTGGGTACGGCTCGGAGCTGTTGCAATGCACAAGTAGCATGGACCAATGCGCTGCCGAGCTGGTTAGCTAAATTTTGGGGAAAACCGATCATGCATTGCAATCGCTTCTAGCAGCTGCACACTTCTTCAACAAAATACGGAATATTCAACAGTCGCCCTCGCAGGTGATTTTACTTTGGTGGTTCACCACGATTTTCCAGCACTCTTTGAAAGGCCGGGGCCACCTAGAGCAAGCACTAACCCAAGAATCCACGCACGACAGGCCGGCTCCTCCTGATCCTCATCTTCCAGTTCCAGCTGGTATTCAGCCTCGGCAAACAGAAGGCAGGAGAACGGCCCCAGAAAACTTGTACGATCTAGCTTGACAATTGTCTATGTCTGCAGGATCCTTTTCTTTGTGAGCTTTCAGCTCCGCAAGGCCTATAGCTGTGTGCTGACTTGCATTCACTGCTGTACGACTGCTGAGAGTGCATCTACATGTCTGACTTCAGCTGCATAACTTGTGTGGCTTCCGCTGTATATGACTATAGTGGGTGTGTGCAACTACATGCATGGTTGTCTGACCGCATACACTTCCTGATACATTGTTCAACATGCAGGCTCGATTCTTGAGGTTGCCTGTTTGTGCCGAGCCACATTTTGTGGCCAAATGGGGGAGGCATGGCCGGAGAAGCACAAGCTTGCCAAGGCTTGGGATGGGTGTGAGATTGCAAGGGATCGAATGAGGACCCAGGGAAGGCTTCTGGATTGGCCAAGTGCATCAAGCACAGGGGTCGCTACGAAGGTCACCCTGAAGCTCAACAGATTCGTTGTTCGCCCGACAATGCAGAGCTGGGTCGACGTTGCCGATACCCCGAAATCTCCTCCTATTGCTTGGCTCAGACAAGAGGCCCTGCAGACAAATACCCCGAATTCTGTGAATGCTTATATAGACCCCAACTAGGAATTATATCCCTCTACATATATTTGCCCAAAACATCCCCAGGTGAAGGAGGTCCACCGATTGCTCGTACCCTCGCCAGACACCGTCAAGATTTACGTCGACGAATGGGGTTTGAAGAGGTTGATGAGCTATTGTCTTCGGAGATACCGCACTGGAGCTGTGAACTTCCGGGACTGTGCACGGGTTCTATTGTATATATTGCTCGATAGATCAGTCTAGCTAGGTATCTGCGAACTCCGTAATGTGTGCTTAGATCTCCGTTAAAGGGTTGTTGTTGTGATTGGGTTCATGGGCTATGCACTGCATGCAGGATCCAGCTCTGCAGCCCATCATGAGTATCATGATTGCTCGGTGGGGCGGCGATGATCCTGCTGATCATGATGACAACGATGGCGAAGGCGATCCAAGCGGCGGCGAGGACGACGCTGAGGAGGACGGCGATGCTCCAATGGCTGCTGATGATGGGGAGGAGGCTCCTGCATTGGATGTTGGGGACCCCTACGTTCTAGCCGATGGGCTCGAGTTCCAACCATATTCTGATGATGAGTGCAATCTTCCTGCCGAGCCTTATGAGATCCCTGTGCTTGGGGACGGTGTGCCTACTCCCGAGCCTTCTGAGATCCCTGTGCTTGGGGACATGGTGCCTACTCCCGAGCCTTGCGAGATGCCTGTGCTTGGGGACGATGTGCCTACTCCAAACAATCAGGATTCTGCTGAGATGCCGGGGGTTGTGCCTACTCCGGACCATCAAGAGCCTGAGATACCGGTGCTTGGGCAGCAAATGCCTACTTGTGAGATGCCGGGGGCCATGGTGTGCCTACTCGAACCAATCAGGAGCCTGCTGAGATGCCTGTGCTTGGGGGGCCTACTCCAGACAATCCGGAGCATGCCGTGATGCCGATGCTTGGGGCTAAGGTCTCCGGAGGCCATGACCTGGGAATGGTGGCGACTCCTTGTGTCAATGGGAAACCTCCACCCATGATTGAGAGGAGGTCGCATCTCACGGACTCAGCTGGGATGTCGTCAGAGTCTACATCAGATCCACCCAGAAGATCAACCCAAGCCAAATTGGCACGCCTCGCCGAGCTTAAGAATCTTTTCTGAAATTAGTTAGATTGAATATATTTGTCGTGTTCCCATACCCCGTTGCCTCTAAGATTCGGTAGATTCCAGGCAGCCGCAGCCGGCTGCACGCAGATAGGTTGCAATCCTGATCAGGCAAAAGTTTGCCGAGAGGCGAGCCCTGAAAGCCAGTGCCATGTGTGACCTAGTCGCATTAGCTTGTCGTGTGTTGTCGTCTGGAATCCCTGAGGCATACGCACCAAATAGCCTTGCATAACGACTTCCTATAGGAACCCTTTTTATGCAATGGCCCTGTAAAAGCTTTAAGTAGCCCAGGCGACCCGAGCGCTTTGGACACCCAGCCCCACGACATCTTCATGCAGCCTCCTCCTGAGCCTCAAAGCATTGATCCTGCTAGTGAAGTTCGCCTGGCCCCTCCTCGTGAGCCTTTGCTTGCTGGTGAAGTTTGCCTGTCGCCTCCTCGTGAGCCTGAAAGCAAGCATGCTGGTGAAGTTTGCCTCCCCCTTCCTCGTGAGCCTGAAAGCAAGCCTGCTGGTGAAGTTTCCCTGTCCACTCCTCGTGAGCCTGAAAGCAAGCCTGCTGGTGAAGTTTCCCCGACCCTTGATGTTGCTGCCAGCGAATGCAAGCCGCAAGCACTCTGGATGCATCAGTCCGATCTCTGTGCATGTATTTCTGTTGTTAGTTCTACATAAAACATGTTCGATATTGGACCTTGTCTCGCCTCAGGCAGCCGTTGCAACGGAGTCCATCGTGCAGGTCTCGCCTCAGGAAGCCGTTGCCAAGGAGTCCACCACCTCGGCTTCCGACAAGCAATTCAGTGTTCTGGATTTCAAGGCACTTTCGGGACTTGCAGTTGTGTGTGCGATCCCTGCAACTTGCTTAGCATGTCCTGCTTCTTAAGATGTCCTGCCTGTGGCTGTATGCATACAAACATGTCCTCATATCTGGGCAGGAAGAGGTCAGCAGAACGGATCAGTTCAAGGGCAAACGCAAGGCCGGCAAAGCTGCAGCTGATGATGATGAGATGAAAGATGATGAGGAGTGCCAGGAAAGCGAGGAAGATGATGATGAGCCTGTGGTGAAGAAGCGACCGGCTGCCAAACGCAAGATCTCGAAAGCCGGGGGCGATGGAAAGGCCAAGGGACGTGGGAAAGGACGTGGGAAAGGCCGTGGACGCGGTGGGCAGAAGCCAGGCTCTTCTGCCCCCCCGAAAGCAAAGGCCAAAGCGAAGGCAGCAGGCAAGAAAGCTGCAAAACCAAAGGCGAACGGCAAAGCCGAGGATGAGCCGGAGGAGCAGCCTGATGATTCACACCCCGAGGGCGCAGATTCGCCAGGCGAAGCTACGCCCTGCAAAGCGAAGGCAGAGCCCAAGAGAGCAGGGAGACCCAAGGCGAAAGCCAAAGCAGCCGCGAAGCCGGTTGCCGAGGAAGAGGAGCCGTTCAAGGAGAAGGTGTTCGCTCGCCGTCATCGCCCTAATCCTCCAGACCAATCGATGCAATGGCAAGCGATCCGTGACATCTTCGACAGCCACGTTAAGCCTTCCTTGCGATTTCCTTCGAAACATGAGTATGCCTGGTACGACAAGATCAAGCCCCTCTTGCCTGCGAACAGCACGATCGAGGACTACCTCAAGATTGCCCGTGACCGGGCGAAGGACTTCGTGAAGTCCGTCTCAAAGTGAGACACGTTTCAGGGGCCAGCTTCATGCCGTAGTCAACCAGATGCTGTGGCTGCTGTGATAAGCCATGTGTGTTCAAGCTATATACTTGTTTCCCTCACAATAGAATGCACCCTTCTTAGCACTGCCATGCAACTAGCCTGCTATCAAGTACTTTGTATGGAAGTCTCACCGCCTCTGTGTGGCATGGTATGAAGCTCTAAATTGGATGTGTGGGAGCTCGAGCTAGCAGCATGCATGGGGACAGAACCTCGTGCATCGTCAAGGCTCCGATGCCAGCAAGTATACGAGCAGGGGGTGGCCGCGGTTACCGTGGTGCGACAAAACTCAGTGTTCGGCTGTGCCTGCTTTCCAAACATGTTGCATCGCTTGACGCTTGACACTGTCACTGTTTTTTGTGTTGTTTATCATTATTGGTCACTTGCAGGCGAGATGCGACGGGGGCAAAGTGTCGCTTCCCTCATGAAGATGGGCATCTCACTCGGTGATCGCCAGCCTGGCTCGCTTTATACTCGGGGGTTCAGTTGTACATAATCATATTATATCCAACATCTCCGATCTTGTCAGTATTTAATTGTATGCAGGAGTTTGGTATGGCATATGCAAGGTCGTGTGGGCATGGGACCCATAATTAAACAATTCAGGGTTTCCATCGTTTCTTCTAGTCCCCTGAATTCCCTGATATATATATATATATACACAGGTATACTTAGTACTTAAATCCCCGAAGACCGATCATGCTTACATGTACCATAGCAGCATGGAACTCAATCGCTGCCTGCCGTCATCTTTGAGCTAGTCGCCGATCGCACACTCGGCTCCCGCAGCGCCGATAGCCTTATAGCTGTTCAAGATCAACATCAAGACATATGCACGATCGATCCTTTAAACTCACGAAATCCCCGAGTAACAACATGGCCGGTATGCCCGACTTGGAAGCAGCTTTTTTCGATCGGTTGGAGGAGGTCAACCAAGAGCTCTACCGCTTGCGAAAGCAGGTTGTGACGCTGAACGAAGAGGTTGTTTCCTTGACTCGCGAACTTCATTATGTAAGGAAGAGCACCGACTCTTGTGTGGAGGGCATTAACCAGTGCAAATCGGAGTTGAAGTTCAAAACGCGAACTTTGAGCCAGCTGTGGGACTTCCTCAGACGTTTTCTTGGAGAGCTCGCCGCATGCATTCAGAATGCTCTACGGGAAATACAGTGAAGCCAGTCCTGCCCCCGTTTTTGCTACGTGACGATGCCATGGGGGACTCTTTCAGCTGGTGCCTCGATCTGTTTCAATCCGGTTCATGGGGAATTGAATCAGATTATATGTCTGTGTATACAGGGCCGATTCAGGAACTCCTGCACTCGTCTCGCTCTCGCTCTGTTCTCTCTCTGTTCTCGCTCCGCTCTCTCTCTCTCTCTCTCTCTCTCTCTCTCTCTCTCTCTCTCTCTCTCTCTCTCTCTCTCTCTCTCTCTCTCTCTCTCTCTCTCTCTCTCTCTCTCTCTCTGTTCTCTCTCTGTTCTCTCTCTTTCTCTCTCTCTTTGTGGGGTGTCTGGGGTTTCATGGGGCCGGCTTCGGGCTGCATCAGGGACAGCATGGCTCCGCACACTCCTGTTCTTGGCACGGGGCCAACTTAATCGGAGGACCCATACACACCGCACGCAGTTTAAGATACTCAGGGTCCGTGTGGTTTAAAGAGTTAAAAGCTTGATCGGTCGTGCCGGCCCGATACCCAAAAGCATTCAGCCTCGCCTTTCACCCCCATATCATGTATTTTGCCTCGATCGCACATAACATATAATCTTATTGAAGTTGACCCAGAACCGCCAAGCCACGCAGAATGCCGAAACACCATATACACCGCTGCTGCCGAGGTCTATGTTGTCGAGCCACAGAATGCCTTGGATCATTGGGCCAACAGGCCAGAGGCTCTCAAAAGACATGGGCTTCGGATTTCTGTCGGGGGTCTGTGTTGGCTATTATATGTGGGCTGTGCAGTTTATATGAAGGCTCGCAGGGTTTATGGGTCTTATAAGATTTGAATATATATATATATATATATATATATATAGCTTTATATAGAGCTATATATATATATATATATATATATATATTCAAATCTTATAAGACCCATAAACCCTGCATAATACCGGGGATAATATTGGATTGAGGTTATAACGATCGAGGATTACAGGGTCATGCCGACCAAAACCAGAAATGGAACAATGGATGCCTAAAAGCATTTAGCCTCATTTCTCACCTCACATGATCGGGTATGATAAACAGGCCTGTCACCCAGACCCTTCCACAGCATGGTATAAAGCCCCCCTGAACGCCGAAACACCCTAAGCCACTGCTGCCGAGGTCTATGTTGTCGAGCCCATGGATCATTGGGCCAACTCCAGAGGCTCTCAAAAGAAGTGGGCTTCGGATTTTCTGTGCGGGGTCTGTATATGGGCTATCGATCTTTTGGTTGTACTCGCAGGGTTTATAGTTATATAGGGTTTGTATAATTATATAGGATTTCAACATATTATAATGGGGGTATGTGGCTACGCTGAAAGTTGCATGGGCTTCCATTGGGTCTGCATGCATGCTGCACATCGCTTTAAGCTCTTGGGTTTGTACAGTCTTCATTGACGGGGGATCACACATATGGAGCACGATCGCTTCTACATCAGGGCTTCGCACGTGCATGTGTCAAACCTTGAAAGGCCAGACCAAGCACCCTGAACCCATTAATTGTATGTGCATTATATATAACCCTATATACAACCCTGTATATGCATATTGTCGTACATAAGGAGACAGAAATTAATTTTGAGGCTCTGCTTCCCAAGCTTGCAGCCAGGACCCGTCGTCTGGATGCCATCGATGCAGCCGCTGGTGACCTTGGGTCGTGTATCAGAGAAAGCACTCTTCGAGACCGCAGCCCGACCTGATCCCAAACCGTATACCCGTAGTGAGGAAGCCTTGCAAGATTATCCTGCAGATGACCTTTAATCTCAACCCATGCACTATATATAGGCCAGCCCTTGATAAAGTACGGAGAAGGCACTCTTCATGACCCAGCCCGACTTGAAACCAACCCGTAGTGAGAAAGCCCTGCAAGCCTATATATCCCATATATTGACCACCTCAATCCATAATTTGGCCCAGCCCTTGGCAAACACTGGAGAAGGCACTCTTAGAGACCAGCCCGGCCTGATCCCGAACAAACCAGTATGGCCAGGAAGCCTCACAAGCCTATCCCAATGCGACCTTTTATCATGATCTTATGGCACCCAGCCCCGCCTTTTGTAAAGCCTATACATTTACACCTGGACCTGCTCCCGAAGCCCAAGCGACCCCGTAGTGAGAAAGCCTACTTAAAGGATCATGGGACTTATTTATCGTAACGGGTATATTATTCAGGTACATACTTATAATTACTTTAACATATATAAGGTAGTTATATAACCAATATACTATTTATAAGTCCCATGACCCTTCAAGTAGCAAGCCTATGTATCGTATAAACCTTATAAGATAACCTGACACCTCAACCCAAACTATCCCAAGCTGATAACCCCGCCTGACCTATATATAGCACCGAGCTCCTTCTAAAGCCCAAAACACCCGGTCGTTTCCGGAGACAGCTCCAGAGTGCTGCCGCTGTGCCAGATCGATGAGTCGAGTTGATGCACAGGAACCAGCATCAGTTTTTGATAAGACCACTCAGCTCCTTAGATCCATAGTCCAGCTAGAAAGACTTGGGGCATGCCTGCACCCTAATGGCTCTTCAGGCCCTAAAAACCCCTTATGCATTTATACCTGGACCTGCTCCCGAAGCCCAAGCGACCCGTAGTGAGAAAGCCTACTTGAAGGATCATGGGACTTATTATATATATATATATATATGTATGTATATATACGGGTTATATAAGGTAACCCCAAATAATGTACTTATAACCATACACTGACTACAAGTCCCATGATCCTTCAAGTAGCAAGCATATATACCGTATATATACTTCTAATATAACCTGACCCAACCTCAACCCAAACGATCTCAAGCATATATATACCGCTTGACCTATAACACCGAGCTCCTTGAAAGCCCAAAACACCCAGTCGTTTCCGAAGACAGCTCCCGAGTGCTGCCGCCGTGGCAGATCGATGAGTCGAGTTGCTGCACAGGAGCCACCACAGGCAGCATCAGTTTTTGATAAGACCACTCAGCTCCTTAGATCCATAATCCAGCTAGAAAGACTTGGGGCATGCCTGCACCCTAATGGTTCTTCAGGCCTTAAAAACCCCTTATGCATTTATACCTGGACCTGCTCCCGAAGCCCAAGCGACCCCGTAGTGAGAAAGCCTACTTAAAGGATCATGGGACTTATATAGTAACTGTATGTGGGTTATAAATATTATCAAGGTAACCCCAATTAAGGTATTATACCATATATACTTACCATATGTATAAGTCCCATGATCCTCCAAGTAGCAAGCCATGTAGCTACGTCTATATTTCTCATATATTAGCTACGTATGTACTCATTTGTTTTAGAAAGCGGCCTCGGCTGTTGCCAATGCCGCCAAGACCACGTCGGATGTGATCGAGGGATATAGAGGCTATCTGTGTATTTATAGTAGATAGATATCTCCCATATATTATTATAAACCCCAATAGATATCTTGCCTTACATCACTTCAAACTAAAAGCCCTATAAAACCCCAGACCCCCGTATAATTTGGGAAGCCATACACACATCCTATAGGGTTTATATAATATAATCATATATTAGAAGCTGCCCCCACCCTGTATAATAGTGGTATAATAGGAATATAATATAGGGCCCTTAGTATAATCCTATATAATCCTTATATGGTCACTATTACAGGGTGGGGGCAGCTTCTAAATCATATAGATATTATAGGTTTCGCTAGGGGTTATTGGGTTTTTAGGGTTTGCAAGCTTCCCAAAAGGGCTTCGGCTGTCGGGTTTATTTTGTAGAGAGCCTCTAGACCTCGCCTTGCATGGTGTCTTGATCTACAGCAGGGACTTCGAGCCTCGACGGGTTCCGGCCTAGCTAGATGCCCTTATTCTACATATCGTCAGGTTTGCAAACAGTACGTAACCTCTGTTTAGCCAATATATGATTTACTCAAGAATCATGAGTCTAATAGAATATGTATTGAATCTTCCTTAGATAGGATCCTTTGGAATTTGTGGTACATGTAGAGGAAGGGAGCTTGTTGTAGTCATGGTTGGGCACGGGTTGTTGTTAATCCAAATACGTAGGGAGTGCTAGGTCGAAATATACGAAACTGGCCGGAAAACGAGAGAGCGGAATCCGGCGGGGAAAGAGCGGAATCTCGCGGCGAAAGAGCGGAAATCAGCGGAATCGCATTTCTACATAATTTCGGCTGGGCATGGGTTATGATTGTACATGGCTCGCACTGGAGCTATTCAGCATTCACTCTTGATTTTTGTGTGGTCCGACTGAAATCTATGAGTGTGCACCATCTAAGCTGAGTGACGAGCACATAAATGGATGCACCCGCATGCATCGCCGGCAGTGATCGAAGCGGGTTGGGGCTGCCGTCCTTAGGCAGGGATGGAGCCGGGCGACAGGTCGGCACACCATGTGCCGGTCAAGCAAGAGCTTGACGAAGAGGAGGCCGCTATGCAAGCTGAGATGAAGGAGACATGCATCCTGTGTCCCTTCTAGACAGCACTGCTACCTAAAACCCTTCTAGAATGCAAGAAAGATCCTGTGCCTTCTAAACAACACAGCTATAGAACTTCCAGGCCTCATAAGTCTAACCCCCTGAACCCTATAAGCAACTCTAGAATGTAGGAGATCCTGTGCTTTCTAGATGTTATAGCACTTCCAGGCCTCATAAGTCTATAAACCCCGGAACCCTATAAACTTTTCTAGAATGCAGGAGATCCTGTGCTTTCTGGACTGCAGAGCTAGCACTTCCAGGCCTCAGAAGTATATAAACCCCTGAACCCTGTAAACCCTTCTAGAATGCCTGTGCTTTCTAGATAACAGCACTTTCTGGCCTCATAAGTCAAATTTAAATCCATAAACAACTTTTCTAAGAGACATCCTGTGTCTTCTAGACAACCAACAGCACTTCCTGGCCGCAGAAGTCAAAACCCCAAACCCATAAAAAAGCCTTTCTAGGAGACATCCTGTGTCTTCTAGACAAACGCAGCTAGAACTTGCAGGCCTCAGAAGTACAATAAACCCATAAGTTTCAGCTGTGTTGTCTTGAAGGCAAAGAGTATATAGAAGCCTTATAATAATAATAATATATATATATATATTTATTATGCCTTCTATATACTCTTTGCCTTCAAGACAACACAGCTAAAACTTGCAGGCCTTTAAAGCTTGAACCCGATAGCCCTGAACCCTTCTAAAGAAATTTCCCGCCCAGGAGCTCTACGACGAGTGCATGGAAGATCTGCAGGGCAGCTGCCTCTACGTTTCCGATGAGGAGTTGGATGTGGTGCCTTCGCTGGCTGGCGAATGAGTTTTTTTCGGGGCAAATATTTGGTGCAAGGGTTTCTATAGGATATATAAGGGTCTGTGTAATATAATACATATATATATATATATATATATATATAGGCTTTCGTGATTTTAAAATACTTGCAGGGCTTCGAAAGCAGAGTCCTTCTACGGGGTCGGCTTTGCATGTACCCAGGAAGCTGCCTGTCGAGAACTCTTTCCGGCTACGCAACGTCAGCTAAGCTTCGGAATTACTTCGGAGGATGGACAAAGGGCGCTTGAAAACGGGGAGCCGGGGATGATGGCAGCCACACAGGCCGAATCACAGGAAGCAGAATCCCACGAGCAGCCCTCCTCCCAACGTATGTTCGCAACGATTCAGGTTACATCCCAAGAGTCGGAGCTTGCAGCAGAGCAACCCACACCGCCCACACCGCAGACCCCGACTCCGCCGCCGCAGCAGCAGCCACCCCAAGCCGGGCACCCGACACCCAGTGCAGCCATGCATGCACTTCCAGCAACGCCACCTGCAGTCACGATCCAGCAGCAGCATCCCGCAACGCACGCAGGACCACAGATGCTCACGATGCCACCCGATGCCACACAGAAGAAGCAGCAGCAGCCGGACGCAGTGCAGGCAGCCAAGGCCCCAGCAGGGACACTGTTAGCAACAGGGTCACCGAAGCAGACCGAAGCAGAACAGCACCTCGAGGAAGAACGATTGTTGCAGCAGGGTGAATTTGAGAAAGCCGAGAAGCTAATCTACGACAGGGTGCGAAAAAAGGCGGAAGCAGCAGAGCTTGCAGCAGAGCTTGCAGCAGAGCTTGCAGCAAAACAGGCGACCGCCAGTGCAGCTCAGGCCAAGCAGCAGCAACTTGCAGCAATGCCGCCCGCCAAGCCCTCGATGCAACAGCAACATCCCGCAACGCAGGCAGGACCACAGATGCTCACGACCGGGCCCCAATCAGCAATGCATCTTGCACCCGATGCCACGCAACAGCAGCAGCCGGTCGCAGAACAGGCAGGACAGGGCCAGGCGACAACCAGTGCAACACAGGCCAAGCAGCAGCCACCTGCAGCAGCAATGCCACCGACCGCAGCCACGATCCAACAGCAGCATCCCGCAATGCATGCAGCTCAGGTTCTAGCAGTGCCGCCCAAAGCCACGATCCAACAGCAGCATCCTGCAGTGCATGCACCACAGGTTCCAGCAGTGCCGCCGAAAGCCACTTACCAGCAGCAGCATCCCGCAGTGCATGCACCGCAGGCCACAGCAGCGATACCCAAAGGCCCGATCCAGCTGCAGCCGGCCATTCATGCACCACAGGTTCCAGCAGTGCAGCCTTGCAATGCCAGGATGCAGCAGCAGCCTCCCGCAGTGCATGCACCACAGGTTCCAGCAGTGCAGCCCACGGCCACGATCCAGCAGCAGCATTCCGCAGTGCAGCTCCATGCCGGTGACAGGCAGCAGCAGGTTTTCACAAAGCAGCATGAAGTGCACCCGCCAGCACAGCAGCATCAGCAGCCAGTTGCAATGCATCTACCGGCACAGCAGCATCCATTGCAGCAAGATACCCAGCAGCATGCAATGCATCCACCAGTACAGGGAGTTCCGAAGCAGCATGCAATGCATCTGCCACCGCAGCAGCAACAGGGAGTTCCGCAGCAGCATGCAACGCATCCACCACTACAGGGAGCTCCGCAGCAGCATACAATGCATCCGCCACAGCAGCCACTACAGGGAGTTCCGCAGCAGCAGACAATGCATCCGCCGCAGCAGCAGCAGCAAGAGGGAGTTCCGCAGCAGCATGCAATGCATCCGCCGCCACAGCATGCTAAGGCAAGTCAGCAGCGGCATCAGCCAGCTACGCAGCCAAAGCAGGAGCAAGCGCCAACGGCATCGGCCATTGATCGCAGAATGCGCCGCATCATGGCCCCGACGCCAACGGGCACGTTCAAGGTGAGCGAGTCCATCCGCAACATGTGGAACGATCTGGGAACCCGTCCGAAGGTGCTGAAACTCTTTGAGTCATGCGACTACTGCCCAGATGCCTTCATGAAGCGCTTCTCCGTCTCCAGCACGAAGGAGAAGGAGGAAGAGGTCAACATTCCTTTTGAGTTTGTCTCTGAGGAAGAGATGGCCAATGACTACAACATGTGCGAGAATCTTGGCTATTTAGATTCCTGCATGGGATGAAGGCTTGTACTATATAGGGGCCTAAATAATTACCTAGCTTTTTGGGGGTTCCTTATTATTTTTGTAAGGAACATATTATCGGCCCTTTATACAACCCTGTTCTAACTTATAAGGCCCTAGAAGTCGCATACATCCGAAAGAGAGTGAACCGTTGGCTTCAATGCTGGGGCTTTCGGCTTTCGGGCTTGGTCGAAGATCTGAATAATATCTATATCTATATATATATATATGTATATATATATATATATAATGTACACATACATACATGCATACGCATGTATATATGAATAGACGATATGTGAATACATAGACATGTAATGGCTTTTGTTTTGTTCTGGGGTATTACTTAGAAGCTGCCCCCACCCTGTAATAGTGGTATAATAGGAATATAATAGGGCCCTAATATAATCCTATATAATCCTTATATGGTCACTATTACAGGGTGGGGGCAGCTTCTAAGGTATTACTTACGTCAGGTTGGGCGAGCTTCAGACATCGTTCAAGCCCGAAATCTAAGCTGAAACCCAACACCGTACACACCCTGAAACCCGTCACAACCCCCTCCACCCCCAAACCTTTGAACACCCCCAAAGCTAAAAAAGAAACCCTATAAACCCCACAATCCCAGCATATAATCCCGAAGCCCTTACACCCTCAAACCTCAGCCCCCGAAGGCTGCAACCCAAACAATGAACTCACACAAAAGCCTCAAAACACTCGTTAAGGATAGGGCTTAGATATGCTTCGCAATTCTAAACCCTTGCTGCCCTTTACCCCCTTAAGGAGCCCCGACTCGATGTAATCCAGGCGATTGGAGCTTTAATGGTCTCGTCGAAGTAGTTGACCTTTATCTGGATAGGAGGCTTCCATGTGTTCTCGCTTGCATGACTACTTCAGTCTTTCAATGACATAGCTGATCCGTCCACGACTCATCCGAGGGAAGACATTTTGGATGTCGTGACGAAAGCCCGGAAAGATCCCGCGAAGTACGTACGGTGCGACCCTTATACAGCGACATGTGCATGGTGCGAGAAGTACAATGGCACGCTTGCAGGTGGCACACCTTCAGAAAGGGAGTTGAAACTTTCTACATGGAGCTGAAGGTTAAGGGGCACAAGAAGAATCTTGCTCTGCATGCAGCCCGAATGTTGCTTCAAAATTCTGTACATTGTCTAGCTGCTGAAATAGCTGATGTAGCAACCATCACACTGAGGCAATCTGCGAAAACTACTTTCAAGGAGGAGCAGGAGTTCGACCTACCGACGGATGAGCTCAACCTCGAGATGCCCTCGGGGTCTGTGCTCACAAGGGCTGCAGACCCCAGCCTTGACGCTGGTAACTTGCAAGCCGTACAGTCATAAACCTTGTAAAACCCTATATAAGGCCCAAACCCTCAAAAACTCTAACCTTAAACCTTACTCGAATCTTGCATGCACTTCTAAAACCTGAGGCAATGCTGCCAAACGCGCCAAAAAGATGGAGGACCCCGAGACCAAGCAGGCCATGGAAAAGGAAGCCTTCAAAATCCTGAAGAAGATGGCCTTCCCCAACACGGAGAAGACGGAAGCCGGCGGGCAGCACCTGAACAAGATCATGAGTTGTGTCAGCCTTCGGCTGCTGATTGTGGATGGGACAAAAAGCCTGCTGCAGGATCACATACAGAAGAAGCAGGCTCAGCTTCAGCAAGACCCGGGTGCAGCGACAACAAAGGGGGGTACTTTGAAGACAATGGAGAGGCAGCTCGGTTGCACACTATGTACTTGCACATTATATACTCCATGCAGTGGACACCCTTTGCCGTGTTCGGGCTGTCTGATTGAGGATGATCGAACGCCTCTCCACGAACTACGATGCCATGGACGCATGCAGTGAGGAGTTCCAAGAGTTGCACACCCGTGGTGTCGTTGACGGCTGGGATGAGAGTCTGGGATGAAGTATGATTTGCATTTCGTGGGCGATATAACCACCCTTTCATACCTCGACAATCCTGAGCCGCCTGAGCCCCATAAAAACCCGAAGCCAGTTCCACCTGGAGTTGATAAAACCTTTAAGCCCTACAGGTTGCCCTCAACAACTTTCAAGATAACCACCTTATAAACTATGTAAACCCCAAACCAAAGTTGCCGTCAACCACCCTATCCGTAAAAAACCCTAAACCACATACGGATCGACCTGGGGTTGAAGGTTGCATGCTTCCGATAGGACAAAGATAACCTGCAAACCTTATAAACCCTGGTTGCCCTCAACAAGATCAAGCTAAGCACCCTATAATCTAAATAAGCCCGATGTCAAGGATCACCCTCGAGATGAAGGTTGCCGTGAACAAGATCAAGAAGCTGCTTCTCGGCTGGCCACCCAAGATAATCAACAGCTTTACGCGGCAGGAGAACCATGAACACTGTAAGCCTTCAAGATTATATGCCTTCCTATATATGGCCCAAATTATAACGGAGCTGTCCATGAACTCCATACAAACCCTGCTAACCCTAAACACCCTATCCCTGAAACACAAAACTTCCGGTGCCTTACACCATATCCATCCAGGCTAGTGGATTCCTGGGAGCTCGACAACCGTGCCAGGACGCCGGCTACGTGTCAGTGCAACATAAACACGCACACACGCATGCATATATAAACTTACATATATATATATATATATACACATACAACATATATATATACACACATATATATATACACACACATCTTGCATGCACGCTCACAGAAATGTGCCTAGGCATGTATCTATACATTTATATATATATATATATATGTATGTATGTATGTATGTATATATATATATGTATATATATATATATATATATATATATATATATGCCATACACACAGGCACACGTGCACACATGCATACATGTACATGCGAGCATCCCAATCGAGACCTTTGTGCAGGACGCTGCTTCCGGTGGAGGAGCAGAAGCCAGAGGCAGAGGAGAAACCGGCACCCAAGGCGAAGGCGAAGGGCAAGAGAACGCCGGTTCTGGCTGGTGGCTCCACAAAGAAGCCCAGGACAAAGTAGATGCTAAGAGCTCGGCCCGGGGATACATGATCATATGTTTACTGCATGCGGCATCTGCAAACAAGGTCAGCTTTCGGGGGTCCTTCGAGCTCTTGGCATGACCTAGGATGCTCGAGCACTCGTGTGCGAAACAACGCCTGGCATGACCTAGGATGCTCGAGCACTCGGGTGCGAAACAACTCCTGGCATGACCTAGGATGCTGGATCACGCGGACCTTCGGCTGCGACGTTTTTTAAAAAGGGGTTCATGCAGTATATACCGTTCTGATTGAATGATGTCGTTTCCTTATCAAGCCGGTTTGTGTTGCAATGCCAGGCAGAGACGAATCCCAGAAGACGGAGGCCGTTGAGGCACTCGCACAGAGTGTCGTGGATGGGGTCTCCAGGCTAAACCCTTTTAAGCCCTGAACCCTTATAAACCCCAAGGGCTTATAAACCCTATATATAGTTGTATAAACCCTGTAATAAACCCCACCTAAGAACGGCATCCCTACATAATTGCTACACAGTCGATCCAATTATCTCATTCTTTCAAAACCCAATAACTTATATACATATGTATTATATACACACCAAATTCAATTAACCCTTATAACCTTAAAAACCCTATACGCTGGACGGTTCGATTGCACGCAATGTCCTTCCCGGGCAGCCTTTATATAGTCGCTATATCTATAATAAACCCAACTGTGTAGTACCCTTGTAAGCCCAGCCCATCATGCCCTTTCGTGGATGGTTCGAGTGCACACAATTGCTTTTTCGGGGATTGATCCTGATCCAATCTATGCCTCCCCAATAAAGCTCTATACATAAACGACCTGCAATTAAGACCAGTTCGATTGCACGCTGATTGCTTCATAGTATACTGATCGCGGGGCATCACAGGGCGACGAACATTACTCAGGTTTGGGGCTTTTCCATTGTTTGTATATATATATATATGTATGTATGTATATGTATATTAGTTCTAGATTGTCTTTTGCCCGATCAGCCCCGAATTCTGATATGCAGGTACCATTAATCATACGCTAAATTAAGCAGTTCAGGAAACCCCAGCCCCATGCAGCATGCACACTCTTTATGTGTGTACAGCTATGTGCCTCAAATATTACGTATGCCCCTAAACCATGACTTTACTTTCGAGCCATCCAAGGCTCCGGCTGCTGACATTGGCCGCATAGCTCGTGCTTTCACTGCTGATCTGGGCAACGCCTCAGGCTGCAGCTCCATAGGGCAAGCATGCAAGGTTGGTAAGTCCAATGGTGAAAGGGATTCTCAGAGGCTGTTTCAGCGGTTTCATTTGAGACTACGTGTTCCGATATCGGAGTTGCACCATGATGATGCTGATGGGGGGCCGGTCAATCTTCCTTACATCAAAATCAAGGACTTCTTTGGGTTCCTACTGAAGACTCACCCGAAGCTTTTGTACGGTGGTTTTGACCTCGGGCCCGAACAAGAGAATCTTTGCATGCAGTTTTGGCAAGGCTACCGTCTGTACCATCCGGAGCACGAAATCTTTAGCACCTTCACTGAAGATGAGAGGAAACGGATCCTACCGGTAGCTTTACACGGGGATAAGGGGCGAACTTTGGCTAAGCAACCAATCTACTGCTTCGGATGGGAGACGGCATTCGGATTGCCGCTGCATTGCCGTATGGCGGCAGCAAAATCTGCTGCTCCCCCTCGCCACGAAACCGGCGGGAAACTCAACCAGAGCTGCAGTGAAAGGGCCCAGGCCTTACACAATCCCGAAATCCTAGATGATGCTGAGTGTCCCCGGAAACGTAGGAGAGTCGGTCCCTCGCTGCCATACAAGACTTCAAGCATACCTCACAACCTCAAGGGCCACGTGTATCTGAGTCACTGGCTCGGCACTTGCATTCCGTCGAGAGTCTTCAAAGCCCATCCAGGCCTCATAGATGCATACTTGGAGGAAGTTGCCAGAGAGATGACCGATTTGTTTCACGCGGGTGTGCTGCACGGTGGTTCCACTTACCGCTGTGCGGTCATAGGGGTGAAGGGCGACTTAGAGTTCTTCCTAGAAACCGCCTACCTGAACCGATCCTATCAAAATATAGGAACTACCGTGACTTATCCCTTTTGTCCAGATTGCAAAGCAGGGTTTCCAGGAATCCCTGGAATCGACACTCGGGACACTCCGGGCTGGAGAAGCACTTTATATAGTGATGAGCCCTGGGACGAGTTGCCGATTTTGAATCGGATTCCGTTTGCATCCACGAAGAGAGCCGCTTTGTACAGGAAGGATGTTTTCCACACTTGCAAATTCGGATTCCTGAAGGATTTGAATGCAGGTATCCTCATGCTCTTGTGCGAGATGAAGTATCTAGATAACCCCGGGGATCCTTGGTCTATGAACGCCAGACTATCCCGAGCCTCGGCCTGTTCAAACTTTGGTTGTCAGCCTCGAAGAAGAGCTCTGGACTCAGGAAGTTTTCCAAGCTTTCATTCCATCGGGACAAGGCTACCAAATACCCGTTCATGAGTGGCAAAGGGTCAGATTCGGTGGTAGTCTTAGAGTTCCTGGAATGGCTTTTGCGACTGAAGCTTCGGTCTCCAAAGGAGGCCAGCCACACGCTGGTTTTGTCTGCGATGTTGGAGGCCGTGCAAGGAGCCTTGTGTTTCATCGGAACGTACCACTCGCACGGTTGTTTTTACTCTCCTCCTTGTGCGAAATTCTCGATCGCATCTGGGCTTCGCCTTTTCAGGGGCTACGTGTTCTTGGCCAACAAGTGCATACGAGATAAGAAGCGGTATTTCTCCTTGAAGCCCAAAGTCCACTACTTCCATCACGTGTTGGTGGACATGCAAGATCAGGTTGACTTAAGCCACGAGGTCATTTTTAATGCTGCCGCAGTTTTCAATGCTGAAGGGAATGAGGACTTCATAGGCAAAGTCTCCAGGATCTCGAGGAGGGTCTCACCAAAAAAAGCTACCCGAAGGAGTATCGAACACTACCTTGTTGCTTTGAGACTCCTTTACAAGAAGTCCGGGCTTTAAGATGCGACTATCCAATAAATACGGGTTCCATGCACTTCCTATCTTTCCGATACCATGTGTACCTCAAGTTGTTCAGGCTATAATTTAGCTAGGGGTCTATTTAAAGGTTCGTCTACATCTAGAAGTCCGGGCGCCCGGCAGCTGGCAAATCAACGCTCGTGCTCGCCATCCACCAGGGATGAGGGTTATATAGGGTGGAGTTTCAAAGCTTATATGGGCTTGATCGAGGGTTTAATTAATTATGTATAGTATATACGGTTTACAGGGATGGAGGATATGATAGGTTGCTATAAAAGAACTATGTAAATTGTGCATATATATAAAGAGAGATGCATAGGTACTTTTAGCACTCGCTCTCGACAAGCAGGCACGTGGTTGTATACATATTGATGTATATATACTTATAAGTTACGATATGGGCTTTTAGATATCTCTATATAGGGTTCATGTAAGGTTATATATATAGTTTGGGTTTGTAAAGGATTCGAAGGTTTATCTACGGCATGATGTGGATGTGCGAGCTCGTTGCTGTGAGCTGTGAGCCTGCGACTGCGAGGCCGTGCTGTGCAAGAAAGGGTCTTATATGCTGCTTCTTTATAGACATACCATATAGAAGCCATTATTGATCCCGAATACGTGTGTCTCCAGTGAATCACCGGGATCAACCAAAGAGCGTTTTTCATTTCAGACAACAACTGCGAAAGAGCAATTCTGCTTTAGAGCAGCTGATCCACAGCAAACAGCCGAAGCAAAAATAAGCGGAACGAGCGGAAACCTCCAGCGGAATCGCCGAGAGCATTTATTATGCAGGCTTGGTTTTCACAGGTAAGGATCCAAGTACCCAAATAGCAGGGTTTCAAGGTCCAAAAACCATTCAGGGTATGGATTTTGGGATCTAAAACCCTTCTATTTGGGTACTTGGACCTTCTGGGTAATGGCACAATTATAATGCAGTCTACTATAGCATAATATAGTTGTTCTGTATAGTAAAGTATGATACAGCATAGTATGTTGATGGCCCTGAAGGCGTCGCGCCCTCCTCTGAAGAGCACGAAATCCTGTTCTTTAGGGCTCGGAACAGTTAGTAATACAAATACAGCTCCTCAGGGTTCCTTACTGAGTCTTCTTCTCCAAAACCGCACTTTTTCGGTCCTTTTCTGAGTAAGATTTTTGAGATCAGAATTAGATTGTTCAGCCCGTGGATCTCAAGGAAGTAAGCTAGCAAGCCATGGCCCTAAAGCCCCTGAGCCTTTGTCCATTTAACCCTAAACCCTAAGCCTCTTTGTCCGTCTACTCTCGCCGACCCAACCCCGAAGGTAGGACGACGCAATTAGCGCCCTCTAAAATCTAGTCATGACCTACAGTACTTACTAAGTCCCTGGAGCCCCCCCAAGTAATCTATACCTGAACCCCTAATAACCAATCTAGCTTCGAAGGGTTCCCTATCTTGCTTCATTTATAGTAAAGACTTGGAAAAGAACGGTGGTTTTGGGGGGGTTAAGGTAAGGCGAAGGTAAGACCTGCCCCCCTAAATTTGGAAGAGAACGCGCATGCCCAAGCCTAGGCCTGTCAAGTAGGGTTTAGGGGTTGGGTTTAGAGTTTATAATTCGGGTTTAGTTAGGGTTTCGGGCCGTAACTTTTGAAGTTCAGTCTAAGGCTATATGGACCCACATTTCCAGTCTTCTTGGGCCCAAAGACCACACCAAGCAAGGCTTTTGGGCTACGTTGAGCTTGAGGGTAATGGTGAGATTTGAGGAATTTGCGCAGAACGGAGATCTCCCCATTGTAGGGTTTAGGGTTTAGGGTTTAGGGTTTAGGGTTTAGGGTTCATGCCCCTGTTTCCGAGGTTCGCCTGCTGTATCTCTCAACTGCACCAGTTCCAGGCAGCCCAACCGCCGGCCCATTTTAGGGTTCAGTGTTACACATGAGCCTAAAGACTAAAATTAGTACTACGATTCCTCAGTACGAAAATGTAGCACCCAAAAACCCGTGACCCTAAACCCTAAACCGTGATCAAGCCCCGTTTTGGGGGCGTGGGGTTTCGGGGTTGAGACTTGTTTTTGCGGAGTCCTACAAGCTTCAATCATCTTAGGGTTCAGGGTTTGGGGTTTACGGCATCTACTGAAATTAGGGACCGCAATATAACATAAGCATACGCATTTTATAGGGATATCCCTACCTCAATGGGTTTCATTAAAACGGGGTTTATATGGGATATCCCTATCCTAATCTTGCTGAGAGGCCCTATGATGAAAGGCTCACGAGTAGATAGGCTCAGCGTCAAAGCCTCTACCTAGGACGAAGTCTGGTCAAGGTACTTGTTAACTTCGTCGACCCCCCCACTTGCGCGTGGTTTCACATCCACCCAGAAAGTCCAAATGATTGAAAACACGGATGCCTAGCCAAACCCCAAATTAAGATAGAGCACAGGTAGTAGGCTTAGGACGCCTTGGACTTTGGGACCACTTATATAAACATACAGACCCATTTTTTACTGGTGCTTATGGCGTTTTTGGGCCGGCAGGAAGCCGGAATTCCATTCAGTGCTGCTGGTGTTTGCTCTTGGGAGCGCGAGAGAACAGCTAGGCTTTCCTGGGGCAGCCCCTGTCCGTGGCTCCAGTATCCTTTCCTATGGAGAGCTATGTGTTGCCATAGTATGTGTGTGTGTGTGTTGATTAGGAGACTCGCTAACACAATCTACATGGTTGGCTGTCAAAATTAGGGTCCCTGTTTGGGCACCCTAAATAAGAGGTGCCGTATGATAATAAGGACCCAAAAAGGGACCCTCATGTTGACACCCACCCATATGGGAGTTTCCGACAATTTGGGTCCTTATAAGGATCCTACTATTCAGGGTAGTATTATATTAGGCCCCCCTCTTTTCGGAAACCCCCATATGTCTGTAAAGAGTATGCATTAGAAGCTGCCCCCACCCTGTAATAGTGACTATAAGGATTATGTTAGTGCCCTACTATATTCCTATTATACCTTAAAGTATGCATCCATTCCGGGATTCTGGAATCCCTTGCTGCAGCCACGGTTTCGCCTTGGAGGTTCGGTCGATGCGACCCAGCCTAGTAGTAGAGTAGTACAGCATCCGTATAAAGAAGGAACCCACAAGAGGACCCTAATTTAGAGAACCACCGATAAACAATGTACCATAGTTACCATAGCGCACTCCAAAGCCCGATTCCAAAAAATGCTGAGACCCCTACCCCTGGGCATCAAAATAGGCCGAAAGCCTTATATAGTATGGTCTTTGGGCCCAAAAGCCCTAATATATGAGTCCTTAGATTCCTAGGGTACATCAACTGACTCTGTGGTTTTGCGTTTGGGATTCCGGCGTCAGCTTCACGTTGAACTCTTATAAGGTTAAAGGCTTTGCTAAGTTCCTGAGTAGCACCCTTTTGCCATGTTGGGTTTGGGGTCTCCTATGAAGACTGCTAGGAAAGTGGTACCCCTGTCATTACAGTAGAAGCCAGAAAGTTGGAATATCATTATCGTAACCCCTTTAAGGTAAAATATAGGGGATCTTTCTGGCTTTTACTTTATGGGGTTACTGAGGAACCTAGTTCAGGGCTTAAGGTTTACAGTATGGTCTATGCTTGTTCCAATCCAGAGCTCTCAATCCATACCATTCCTTCGGGACACCGAGGCTGCATCCAAACCGCAAGAACTGATCAAGAACCACACTGGAGACTGTATGTAGGTCAGAAAGTCACCAGAGGTCACGAAGTAGTGAAAGCTTACTGGGAATGGAGCCTTATTCAGGCCTGAGCCCCGGCCCTTTACCCTATTTTGGTAATTTTAGTATAAGGTACCCCCAAACCCCATTCTAATTCAAAAACGACTCCATGTTGCGGGACATTGATTGCATACTGTCCAAGCTCTCTTAGTTGAATAGCTCATGAGCAGCTATAAATACATTCTCTGGATGCACAAGTCATCTACAGCTTTGTTAGCGTCAGACGTATGTCCGATTCACCCCAAAACCCTGTTCTAATTTTAAGGCCCCTATATTTTAAGCCGTACCTAGACTCTGAAGAACCTACCTTTTTAGGGTGCCTTATTATGGTTTCCTTGTAAAAGTCCTTACAAGGTAGGTTATTCTGGGTTAAGGTACCTCCTATGCGACCCCAGACTCCTCAGCCTTTGGACCCTGGCCGCTCGATGCCCTAACGGAACCAACATCGGCCGCAGCCGCGAGAGTTTGATAGGAGGCCAAAAGGGGTTTTAGCCTATGGGGGTTTAGTAGGGATTAGGGTTCCCATAATGGGGTCAATATTAAGGAATCCCTACCCCAAGAATCTTAAACCTCCCGTTTTGGCCTCCCAGCAGGGTTATAGAGAGTACTAGAGACTGCGTGGGCCTGCGTGGGAAGGATGCGCAGGGCTCGGCTTGTTCTCATGGCGGCTAATTAGTACATCTTGAGGTTTAGCTAGGGTTTATATACCCCTTCACCCTCAGCCCTATAATTATGTACCTCCAAGAATTCCTTTGAGCCCTCACAAGACTTAAACGCCACGTATCCTCGGGCCCGGCCCAGCACATAGCCTTCAATTGTAGTTGGAGCCTTCAGGAAGCCTTTCTCATGCCATAGATCCTTTGGTTTCACCCCATGGGTTTGCATTTTGCTACGAACGGTGATGCTTGTGGTGTGTTTCAATCTAGGCTTGGGGTTTGAAGGCCTAATGAGGGACACAGATGCCAGTCACAGTTCTAGAATGCTTTTAGCTTTGCCCTACGCCCAGGAGCCACAGGATGTAGTAGCCTTTGGAAACATACTTGCCACAGGTCAGTGGTGACCACTGCACACCCTCAAGCCCCAAGCAATTCATGGCAGAAGCTACCTCAACAGGCCCTGGATTGAGAATTCGGGCCCCTGTGTTGCAGAGTTCGGACAGGCCCGAAGCCTTGCACCAATACGCCAATATGTACAGTAAGTAAAAAGAAGGAGAGCAGGGGTTTACCAGGGTTCCCAGTGTTCAACGTCCAGATCCGAAACCCTGAACCCTATCATTCTTATAGTTAAAGTTCCGCAAGGCAGTGCGCGATTTCGTGCATCAGTAGGTCCCTAACTAAGACCAGCCCCTATGAGATGTCACCGAACAGCTTGTAGGTGGTAGGACTAGACCCTAAACCCAAAGCCCTATGAACCTCGAGAGCCTAGCTCAAGCCTCAAGTCCCAAACCCCTGTACTTCAGGAATAGACCCTTAGATAAATCAGATTATGGGTTCTGTATTTTTGATTCGGGCGCACTCTTTACTTGTTGAGCCACTTCAATTTCCGATCAACGACTCAGAGCACACTATACTTGGAAAAGAAATGTGGTCGGGCTTGACGGTGGGTGTGGCTCGGGGGTTTGGCCTGGCAAGACGTTGTCCGGGTGTAGCGTTCAGGGTTTGGGGGGTCATTTCAGACAGCTGTCCGGGGCAAAACTTGGGGGCATTTCTGGACTTGATCGAGACACATCCCCCGCTGCAGGCGGGCTGCTGGCATCAACACCTAAACCCTAAACCTTAAACCCTAAACCCCAAACCCTAAACTCTAAACTCCTAAACCCTAAACCCTAAACCCTAAACCTTAAACCGGATTAAGAAACCACGGCGGGGTCTAAGGATGGAGTTGTTGCGGGGCCCTGCAGAACTTGAGGGCAAGGGAATTTGGGTTTGGGAACTGTAAACCTTGAAAGGCAAAGGAGATCTTGCCAGAAGCCCTGATGTTTAAACCCTAATTCGTGATTGTTCTCTTAGCTCGAGCGCCCTTTTAATTAGATTAAACCAGTGCTTCCCAAGTCATCAGAAGCAGGCTTTTCTTCTTTGTCTGGGTAAGTGTGAAGAGGGCTCGTTTCGAATGCGTATTTTGGGCTTCAGTTTTGGTAGATCTTACTTCAATGCAGCTGTCGCCCTGGTGCCGTGCGCATCCTTGCACCCCATGCCTTTCCAGCCTTTGAGCTAGCGTGGGAAGAACTGTCTACTGCAGGCCTTGACCATTTACAAACTGATTGCTGCGCTGCACAGGACGACTGGGGAGGAGGCTCTTCGGTGTTGTTGGCCCCCGGATAGGGTCTGAGCAGCGGCTTCGCGGAATGTTTGTGGTGAAACGTAGGGAAAGCACTGGAGGGTTTGGGTATAGGATTGAGGTTTAGGGATCAGTCCTTATACAGTTGTAGACAACATATACCGGGCCAGAAACCGAATCTATTCATAAAAGCACCTACATCAGGCCTACAATGGGGGCCTTAATGATTACCTATACTTTGTTGGGGGTTCCTGGTTATGATTGCAGTATACTGGGCCCCAAAACCCTATCAGAAATAATCAAGGCCTCTATATTACACCTGTAACCCCCGACAAACCCAACACCCGTGGCTCTCCGACCCATAAAGAATCGCAGGCTTTCTGTGCCCCATGCAATTATTGAGTCTCCTTCTCGCCAGTCGTCATGGTGCCACTGCACCCTCGAGTCTTTTCCGCTGTGCAGGCTTGGGGGGCATAGCAGCTAGATGCCGTTTAGGGTTTAGGGTTTAGGGTTTAGCTGTTGCCGTCATGAACGGCAGCACTTGCAGACTTGGGCTCGTTGTCGCCCCAAGCCGAACACGGCATCTAGTGAATGCCGTGCATCCCTTTACCACTTCGTTGAGCAAGGGACACAGTAAGCAGGTGGCCTCAAGCCCTCTGGCAGGCGCCTCTGTCATTTTGTCGAGTGCTCTGGACCCTGGCACACTGCGCAGCATTTGGGTTGAGGGCTCAGGTTCAAGCAGATTATGGCATGGCCTTGATGTGAGGACATCTGCAACTTTGTGAAGTACGTCGGACACGAAAACTTCAAACGGAAAGTCGCCCAGTAATCACAACAATATTGGGAACAGCAGTAACGGCAGTTACAAAGGTCAAAAAGTAACAGTCACAGTAGCAGCATCAGCGGTGACCAACAGCAGCGGGAGTTGGAGCGGCACCGGTAGTCGCAGTCGTAGTGGATTAGCGGTAGTAGCAGTAGTAGAAGTAGCAGTAGCAGTAGCAGTAGCAGTAGCAGCAGCAGTAGGAGTAGTAGCAGTAGTAGTAGTAGTAGTAGTAGTAGTAGTAGTAGTAGTAGTAGTGGTAGTAGCAGTAGCAGTAGCAGTAGCAGTAGCAGTAGCAGTCGTAGTCGTCGTCGTAACAGCAGCAGCTTCAGCAGTTGTGATAGCAGCAGCCGTGGCGCAGTGTTGTTACATTGCTGTCAAGTATCACAACAACAATTCTCTGGTGCACTAAGCCCCCGATAGCATTCAATACCACAATGGTTCAACTAAAGTTCCAGAATGTTGTGAGCCGTAGAGGGCAAAAGCTCAAACGAATGACCCGTCACAAGCCCCGGCGTAGGATTTAGGAGTGCAGCGGTTGATGATATAAATCCTGCATTACCCTAAGGACCCTAAAGTATGGGAATTATGGTATATTCCTTATTATGGGTAATGCAGGATTTATATCATCAACCGAAGGTGTTAGATTTAGGGGGTTCCCGGATTGAAACTGAAGACTTCAGAGCCGAATACAAAAGTATCCGTAGGGTTTTTCTTTTTGTTCATGTAAAACCCAGGAGAATATTAGAGATAGTGTTTTTATTATGGGTTCTAAGGGGGGTGTACAGTTAGGTTTCGGGTTACCGGGGCTTGAGGTTTGTTGCGGTCCTGAGACGAGACTGTACAATGGTGTGACCCTACAACTTGGCAAAGGCGTAAATCCCCCACACGCCCCAAAAAAAGAACAGATCTCCGTCTGGAAACAGCTCGGGGCGGAGGACAGAAGTTCGAGGTATTTACAGATAGAGGCTTCGCACATGGGGTCACAAGTATGGTAGTTCACATGTGACCCAAGATGCAGGTAACTTCCAAGTACTACAAGTATCCATGAAATGTGCAACTCCGGACCTAAGTGGCCCTTGCTATACCCCGAACTGCCCTACCATGGCCCGAATTCAACATTTCGAGGCCTAGGAAACCTAGGCCCCAAGGAAGGAAACCTCTGGGCCCCAGATCCCTGGAACCAGACCCAAACAATAGGGTTTAGGGTTTAGGGTTTAGGGGCATACTATAGTCTCCTTAGGAATTAGCTTTTGTTTTTGTTCAAATAAAACCCAGGAGACTATGTTCAATAATTTCTTTATTATGGTTCTCAAGGGGGTATAGCATAAGGCATGGGGATTTAGGGTGTTGGGTTAGACAGGCAAGGTTCAGCTGGCAGAAGGGGAGCGCATGAAGCAAGGCTCCGGTGCCAGGGCTCAGCTGAGGAAGCCGGCAAGTGAGAATACGAGCATGCACTGGTTGCATGGCCCAGTGGACTCATATTTGAGGCTTACATGACGATGAGCAGTTTGAGGAGCATTGAATCACCGAGCAGCCTCAGAAGTACCGTTTAAAATTCTTCCCCAGCTTGGGTTGTTGGATGTGTTTTTGGTGGACAGGGGGTTCTCTAGTGGCTTGCTTCCCTTGGCAGGTGTTTAGACAGGGACCGTAGTCCCTTGTGCCACATTCCTATAACCCACTTGCTTACTGTTCCAGCTATTCACGTGTTTTGCGCCTATCGTTTTTTGGGGGATCTTCAAAACTAGGACCAGGACCTGGAGTAGGCTCTTATTCCCTTTTTGTAGGGGTTCAGGTTCCCTTATAAGCCCCTTTATTAAAACCAACAAGGGCACCTTTTTTATTCCTAGGATACTCTAGGTTCAAAAGCAACATGTCGCCTAACCGCAATGACTTCCCGTGCAAGATGCATCCATCCTTTCCAAGGGCCCCCAGGTTCCTATACTGTAGCTTCGTAGGCAGCTCGAACCCCCACACTTTCCGTAGATCTGTATAGGACTCTATATATACATATATACATGTATTTATTTATACTATTATTTATATTTATATATTTCGATATATACATATATGTACAAGGACATCAGGGGTATTTCTTCGGACTTTGACTCACTCAGCGCGCAAGCATGCGTCCAAAACCTTGCACTGGGGTTCGCTGGTAAGCTTCCGTCTGGCATTAAGAAGAACACCCTGGAGCGACAACCTGGACAGACTCTCGCATGCCTATTGCGCATGGCCAGCCTGAGCTAAACCCTAAACCTTAAACTACAAACCAAGCCCTGCATCCTAAAGCCCAAATCCTAAACAAGAGCGCAGCGTGGAGCCCTTTGAGCTTTCTGAGGGTAGCCTTCAAAACTGAGACTAAAGGGTTCAGGTTGTGATCGCACAAACCCCCACTGTAGGAACCTGAGTAAGAAACCTTGGGCCTTTATTATAGGGCTCTTTCTTTGAATCCTACTATTTTGGGGTTATAGGCCGAGGGTTTCTTAATCAGGTTCCTACATTGTACCCTAAGCCCTAAACCCCTAAACCCTAAAGCCCTAAACAGGCACCACTGGGCCTTTAAAGGGTGCTGTGGCCAGCCACTGATGCGAAGTGGCACATGACAGATGCGTCGCAACTGGAGGAAGAACGACATGTTTTTCTCAGGGTTTAGGGTTTAGGGTTTGGGGGTTTAGGGGCCTTAATGATTGGAATAGGGTTTTGGGGCCCATTTTACTCTCACTATAATGAATAAGCAACCCCCAAACTAGTATTGGGAATTATCTAAAGGTTAAAGCCCCCATGGTAACACGCGGTTTCGGCGTCTAGGTTTCACGAAGTAGGAGGAGATAGGCTTTAGGGTTTGGGGTTCTACGAAGACAGTAGATTTCATGGATGTGCGTTTGGGGTTGAGGGCTTGGGCTCAGGGCTTCTATGATGCAGATTGAACCGCGGGCTGTTCCAATGGACGCGCATTTCCATCGAAGACTCCAAGCTAAACCCTCAACCCTCTACAAGACCTAGCAGTCCCCGAAATACCCCATGAGCCTTAAGCTGTGAACTCTAAACCCTCGTGTCTAAACCTTGGAAGAGTCTACTAAACCCTGGGCCTCAAACCGCCCTAAACCCTAAATCCTGAACCCAAGGCCCTAAACCCTACAACCTATAAGACCTAGGCTTCCAGGTCTGAGATGCGTTGTGTCTTAGGGCATCAGTTGGTAATCCAGGTGGGTTTAGGTTTTGGGGTTTAGGAGTTACAGGGTTTACAGGGTTTAGGTTAGGGGTTTAGGGCTGAGGTAAGGCAGATATCGGGTCTTAGGGTGTATCTTGTTCAGATTCTTCAGGCACCGATACGATGGTTTTGCCATGACCCAGCACCGATGACGATGCGATGTCAAGTTTTCCCAAACTGACAGCCTACTCTACAACCCCGGCCCGGATCCCTAAACCCTACAACCCCAACCAGCATCCCTACTACGAACACGCCTAATCACCCAAACGTTTAGGACTTAGGGTTTTGGCAGACTACAGACGCTTCAGCATGAGGTGCTTACTCTACAGAGAGTCGGCTTTAGTTCTCATCACTTCCTATCCAAGGACCTTACAGAATCCCATTAAAGAAAGCGCTACTAGAGCCTTGTACAACTCGTCTAAACCCCTTCCATCAAGTTACAAAGCAACCTAAGCACTGAATAAGAAGCTTTATAGCCGAAGCCCTAAATCCATTCAAAAGCTGTCAATGCTTGGAGGCCTGCTGATCTCTTTGTTGTCTTTCCTTTCTGAGAGGCTTGTATAAAATGTTCTGAATGCCTCTTAAGATCCTGTGGAGTTCATGAAAGCCGCATTGCGTGACTGAGACCTCGTAATATAGGGGCCTGAATAAATACCTATACTAGTTTCGTGGTTCCGTGTATTGTAAGGATAGTATAATGGACGCAAATACCCTATTCTAATTATTGAGGCCCCACTTTAGAATTCGTTCAAGGTCTCGTAGAGACAGTTCTTATCGATGAGATCTAAGCAGATGAATTTCTACGTGCCTACTTATTGATTCCCTTGTTTGTGCTCGTTTGTGTTTTGTAAGCCTTTTCAGTTGTTGCATTTTCTTTGGTGTTGTCATTGTTCGTTGTTTTAACTATGGAGGTTTCACTCTGGAGCTGAAGTCACAAGAAACCTTAGGCCCTTCTAGAACCTTTATAGAACCATCACATAGCCCTTATAGTCCCATCCTACACCCTAAACCCTAAACCCTAACTCCAAACAGGAAGCCCAAAAGCCCAGCTGCCATGGCTGAAGCTTCTGAGGCTGAGAAAGATCGGCGCTATGCCGAGCTTTACCATATGGTCTGCCAGGCGCGCCGGTTTAGGGGGTTATAGGATTTGGGTTTAGGGTTTAGGGGTTGGAGGATTAGGGCTTGGGGGTTATAGGATTAAGCTTAGGGGTTATGGGCTTAGGGTTTGGTCTTAGGGGTTACGGGCTTTGGGGTGGGATTCAGGGGCTGGATAGGAATCAAGGCTTCGGAGTCTTCGGTTTCAGGCAGTGTTGAGCTGTCCTCCGAGACAATGAACAGGGTAAATTAGGGTTTAGGGTTTAGGGTTTACGAGTAGGGTTTAGGGTTTAGGGTTCAGGGTAAAACAGCGGAGCATTCCCTAAGCCGTGGCGCACAGGTCATTCCTGCAGCTAGCGCCGAGAACTCACCGTTGAAAGAATCCGTCCCGATGCAGCGCGGGTAGTCGAAAGCGGCATCTAGCCTGGGTTGAAAAGACAACATAAAATCGACAAAAAGACAGTATGTTAATACTCAACAAAGCACAATATATTTTATATCAACAAGAAGACAATAGAATAGCGAGGATATCACATGTTCTCAAAACACTTTGAGATATTCAAGACCCCCAACCGTCCAACCCGCTCACAAATCCAGAAGCCTCGAGCCCAGCCCAAACCCCCCTTAACCCCACAGCCCTACGCCAAAAAAGCACTAAGCCCTCAGCGCTAAACCCTGCAACTTGTAGGCTGAACCCTACCTCAACCCTGAGTAACCTACCTTTTTAGGGCTCCTTATCATTATGATTTCCTTATATAAGTCCTAAAAAAGGTAGGTTGTTCCGGCTTAAGGTAAGCCATGAAACTGATTGTGCCTAAGCCTGAAAGAGCACAAAGGAATCGATCCGAAAAACCGACGAGAATGAGGTCGACCGGGAAGTTGCGTTACGACGTGAAGCCGAGAAGCGTCTCGAGTTTCGACCTCAGAAGCCTCCCAGAGAGCTTAGTAGGATTAGGGTTTAGGGGTTTGGGGGTTTAGGGTTTAGGGTTTGGGGTTTGAGGGTTTAGGGTTTGGGGTTTTAGGGTTTAGGGTTTGGGGTTTTAGGGTTTAGGGTTTGGGGTTTGAGGGTTTAGGATTTAGAGCTGAGGCTTTAGGGCTTCGGTTTCAGAGCTTGGGGGCTTCGAGCTCAGGGTCAGTATGGTCTAAGGTTAGGGGCTAGGGTTGAGGGCTCAATACTTAAAGAACTGGTTCAAGATTCAAGATCTAGGCCAGGGCAGTGCTGTGTTCTTGTTCTTATGTTCTTGGGCAATTTCTCATGTGTTCTGATTCTCGGCGCTGCCTGTATTGTATTCTACGGTACTGTTTACTTGTTGCTTTGGCGTCGATGGCATGCTGTGTACGAAATGTCGTCTTGCTTTGCTTTTCTTGTGCGTGGTGCCTCCATGATTTCTTGAACACCCTGTTCTTTCGCCTTGACGCCATAGGCCTTCTGATAAAAAAGGGGTCGGAATTAGCAGTCATGGAATCCCCGCGTAGACCCTATTCTAGCGATTAGCCTGACAGGTGTCCCCTTGCACACCCTGCTAAAATCCTAGAAACCCTTCTAACATGTTCTTTCAGCCCAAATCTGCAAGCTGAACTCAGAACGGGTTAGCGCAACAGTTGAGGGGTTAGGGCTCGTTATGGGATTCGGGGTTGATCTGATACCCTAGACCCTAAACCCTAAACCCCTGAACCCGAAACCCTAAACCCCTAAACCCGCAGCCCTAAACCCCTAAACCCCAAACCCCTAAACCCGAAACCCTAAACCTTAAACCCCTAACCCCTAAACCCCTAAACCCTAACCCCTTAACCCTCAACCCTAAACCCCTAAACCCCTAAACCCCTAAACCCTAAACCCTGGTATGCGGTTTCGCCTTTGATGGCATACCTCCAGAGCCTTCAAAGCACCCAGAGACAGTACATCCACATTACAAAGCTCAAACACTGATTCAGGGTTGACAGTGTTTGGGGATTGGGGTACGGTACTTTCATTTCGCACAGATAGACAAGGCTTCTTGGCAATGATTTCAGGCTGGTACTGGACAAGAAGGTTTGTTGTTGCCTGTATGGTTCCAAGAGTGAGGCACTTCACACACAATGCTTGTTGTGTAAGTCTACGTCTACGTAACTGCTAGTCAGTCCTCCCAACAACAAAAGCCGAAGCCTTATCAAGCCTAAACTCTATTCACCGAAATTAAGTAGTAGGTAGAGCTGACTCATGTCAAGGACATCCACGGCGGTGTCTCGCCAGGCAGCGGCAGACGCCGATCTTGTCGTAGGGCTTAGGCCTTCGGGTCAGAAAGGTGTTTCGTCTGATTTTCGAATTGCGGTACATTGAAGATTGGCGCTTTGGGCAAGCAGGCGACAACACATATCGACAGCCTCCTCCACAATATCCTAGGTCAAAGACTGCTGATGATCCTCCATCCATAAACCCTAAAGCCTAAGCCCCAAGCATCCTGAGCCGAACCCTTCATGTGAGCAGCTGCCTCTCCGAAACTCGTTTAAGATTTAGCATCAATTTCTCGCTGAAAAGGGACAAATTTTTCTGGGCTGTGGGGTTCATCTTCTGTGGGTTTAGGGCTCAGAATTTGGATTTGTTGTTCAGGATTTGGGACGCTTCTTCGATCTGCTGCATCGTTTCATCAGATGAAGTAGTGATGCCTCCACACTCCCGGCCAACGATGCAAACGTGGCCTGCGAGCCAGCGTACAGACGGGCGGAAGGGAGGCAATGCCACCAGGAAAAGACCAGTAGGGCGGGCGCACCGTGAAGAATGGGAGAAGGGAGCTTGGAGGTTCATGGGCAGTTATAAGTTGGGTTATAAGTAGGGTAACTACAGTTATAGCATGTTATAGCCGATATTAAATAGAGGGACTTGTGACACCACTTATAACTTATAACTACCCATGAACCTCCAAGAGGGTCCCAACCTCGCAGCATATGGCTTTAGCAGGCACAGGCTCCGATACCCTAAACCCTGAGCACGTGTTGCAGGGCACACGGAGAGCACTTTGAAACCCTGCGCTCCCACCCGGACATTCGCTTTGGGGCCCACCCTGCATCAGATTCTTGGTCCCTCCTACCCGACAGGGTATCAAAACAAAAAAGAAAAAGAATGGAACTGTACAGAAATGCCTGTACTCAAAATCGCTCGACGCGTTTGGAAAGAAAACGAGACATACGAAACAAAGACACACACACACACACGTTGATGTTGTTTTGACTTTTTGTACCTCGAGAAGCTTCTGGGTGCACTAGCCACTGCTGAGCTCAAGTAATGTGGGAACCTGATGAAGAAACCCTAGGCCTATACCCCCAAAATAGTAGGATTCATTTACCGAACCCTAGTAAAGGCCCAAGGTTTCTTAATCAGGTTCCTACAGTAGCTCGACAGCTATCTATGCTTCGAGGGCGGGGGAACACAGTTTCCGACAGCATCAACAAACATGCAAACCACACGATCTGTGCCAACACCAAGCCGCTAACCTTCAAATCCTAACCTGCTGCACAGCTGCATTGCTATCGGCGGCTTATTCTACACCAGGGTCAGGACCCAGAGTAAGCCCTTATTCCCTGTTTTAGGGTTCTGGTTCCCTTATTAAGCCCCTTTAAACCAAAAAGGTTCCTGTAAAGTAGAGGACGCCTTAATTTCAGCAACCCTCGGTTCAGAAATCCAGAACCCTTCTCCGATCCCAGAGACTCCAATACCCCATAATTAAGGAATATACCCTAAGGGTTCCTTACAGGGATCCTTAAAGGGATCTATAGGGTATAGGGTTTAGGGGAGCCTAATATCCCTTAATTAAGGAATATACCGTAAATTATAGTAGGATCCCTAAGATGATTTAAGGAATATTCCCTAATTAAGGGGTATTGGAGTCTCTGGGGATACTGTATACATCCTTACACGCTGACCTCACGCCACAACATTACACCATCTGCAGCATACATGCCTGAATGATTAGGCTAGGACTCGGGTGGCGGGGATCTTTAAACAACACAAGTGCATTGTGGGTAACCTTGTGGATGAATTTGGATGAATATTGCCATTTATTCATACCCTGTACCGTGTCTCTGTCTCTGTCGCTCCCTCCCTCTCTCTCTCCCTCCATCCCTCCCTCTCCCTGTCCCTTTGTGTCTCTCTTTCTTCCTGCCTCTGTGAGGTCTGAAGATGCCATAGCCGCTACAAAATCCTATGTCACTGAGGAACCCCCCCCGGCCGTTAGCGTTTGGGATTTACGGGACCCGCCCTGGGCACTGGCGGAGGCTGTTGCGAAAGCCTCCGAAGAGGCACTCCGAGCGAAATCCGAGGCAGATGAGGCGCGGAGAATTTGGCTTAGAAGGGTTTAGGGCTTCAGGGTTTTACGGTTTAGTAATTAGGGTTTAGGGGTTTAGGGTTTAGGATTAAGGGCCTTTTGGACTCTTCGAGAATTCAACAAGGCTTCTTTTGCAAATTATCGTTCACGCTTAGGGTTTTTTAGAGGCCTTTGCATGTCAATGCGAGTTCTGTAGTAGAGGGAGCGTTCAAGGCGCTGCAAAGGGTTCTATCGATGTGTTGGGGTTAAACTTCAGCTTGGGTTCTAGCTGTACCTCATAAGACGTATCTCTTCCTCTGGTCACTTAGGGCTTTGATTCCAAGAAACCCGAGCCAACCACTTTAGGTCCTTTGGACTACGAACCCTAAACTCTGAGACCCTCTAGAAGCCCTTCTAGAACCCCCTTGAAGAACCCTCCAAGAACTTCCTATAGAACCCGAGTAGACTGTGGTCTCTCAGGCTTGGTACCTAGTGGTTGGGGCTTAGAGTTGGCGTAGAGCTTGAGTTTTTCGGGCTTGGGGTTCACGGAGCGAAAAACTCTTGAAAGCCCTCAGCAGTACAATCCGAAACCTTGTTTTCTTAAACAATTCTTCCAGTACTCTATAAGACTCTACTTGGAGGGTCGGGGGACTTAGTAACTGGTTATTTTAGGGACTTATAAGTACCATAACCCCAATTAAAGTCCCTTTTAGGGTACTTACAAGTCTACTTACTACCTACTTACTAAGTCCCGCGACCCTCCAAGTAAGACATTGATAGAATAATGTAAATCCCCTGAAGCTTACAGGCCCCGATACCCTATCCTCTAACAACCGCCCCGAATAAACTAGTAGAAGGCTCCATCAAGGTTTGTGACCCGTAGATGCTACACTCTTAAACCGAAACCCCCCGCCCTGAACCGGAACTCCTAAACCCTAAACCCTAAACCGGAACCCCCTGACTTGGTAGGCTTTGGCCCGTGCTGCTGCATCCGAGGACCCTCAACGTTTCAGAGTTTAGGGTTCAGGGCTTAGGGCTTTGGGTTTAGGGCTTAGGGTTTAAGCGTTTATAACAGGAATTATGGTCAAGGGCTTACTTTGAGTTCAGGCTTTGAGAGTGGAGGGTCTTTGGTTCAAGTTTGGGGTTTCGCGTCTGGGGTGGTGGTGTCAGGCTGGCGTGCGCTTTGGAGTTAAGGTCGGAGGGCTCAGAATGACCGCAACGGATGAAGGCAATTGTGGGCACAGTCAGTGAAGTGAAGGCTGCCCTAAACTACAACACCTAAACTCCCTAACCCTACAAATGGGTTTGGTGATGAAGCTGTGCACCGAAAGAGCTCCTCCACAGCACAGTCTTTGTTGTCAGCTTTCCAAGTGGAATGGTACAATTTGATCCCATGGTGTTAACAGCGAGAACAACGCTCCACCAACCCCGCTGGTTTCTGCCATCGGTAGATAGCTAGATAAGTAGGTAAGTAGGTCGGTAGGTATTGCTACACGTAGGTAGGTAGATAGTAAACATTAGTCTTGTATATTACAGTACCTACACATACATACTTGCAGTTTACTGGTGTAGGTATGTGTGTAATGAAGATAATATACAGGTATGCACCATACATACATACGTATATACATATTCACATATACACATATATCAGATATACATATATACACATATACACATATACAGACATATACACATATGTGCATATATGCATAACACACATATATATATATATATATATATATATATATATATTAACATATACATATATACACCTGCACTCATACAAGAAAATGGCAGTGCTTGTATTGTGCCTTCTGGTTTCAGACCATGCCGGACCTCGGATGTTCCCTTTGCGCCATCAGCGGCGCCCTTGTCATCTTGTTGTGGCATGGCCATCGCATCCGAAGAGCTGAAGCCCAGAGGGGGACTGAGGATGCTCATGCTGCAGAAGGAGACGGGTACACTTCGAAGACCTGCAACGAGGAACGTGGCAAGGCAGCAGAAACCCCTGTGTTTGAGACAGCATTTATCTGGTCCCACCCGCGGTCACTGAGCACCGTGTTGATGCGGTCCCTGGCAGAACTACAGTCGATAGCTACCGTTGTGGAACCGTTCATGTATCCTTTTCAAGTCGATGTGGGGGCATACCACGGGGTGGAAGAGAACCCTCCGACGTACGAACAAGCAATTGACAGTTTGAAGAGCGGACGGCTTTTATCGGAACCTGCTGCTTCATCTTCGTCAACTACCCCGCTTTTGCAAGTCGTCAAAGACATGCCTTGCCACGGCGGTTTGGTGACCTTGGACATGGCGCTGCGCTCTCTGCCTGGGGCGAAGCACGTGATCTTGTTCCGACATCCACTCCGAGCTGTTAAGTCTTACTTGAACATCGCCGACTACCCTGTGGAGCTGATGAGAGCCGACATATCCTACTCCGGACTCGTGGAATACTCGGAACATTTGAAGTCGCAGCTCGGATGCGACAAGGTGCGCTTCGTCTATGCAGATGAGCTCATCAGAGACCCGGAATCCGCTTTGAAGTCCATTTGTGGGTTTCTCGGTGTGCAGTACAGCCCGAGCATGCTGTCATGGGAGCGTGGTGCCCCGAAGTCCTGGGGGGACTGCGAGACTTAGTAGCTGAGTGGTTACACTTTTTGGGGATAAGATTACCCGCTATAAAACTGAAAGTGTACACTTTTGGGGATAATGTTACCCACTACAAATCTGAAAGTGTACACTTTTGGGGGCTTATGAACTCAGCAACTGAGGAGACGGTGTATGAAGGCTGGTTCGAGAGCGTGTTGCAAAGCACCGGTTGGCAGCAACAACCTAACCTGGACTTGGACCCAGTCCTCCCGGACGATGTGGACGGCCTTGAAAAGGAGTTTATTCTAGAGAACATGTCACCGTTCCAGACACTTCTCGGCTTCCATCGCCGCCAAAGACTGGGACAAATCTCGGTGTTCGGGTTAAGGTGATATAGGTGACTGACACTTAGTTACCAATACCATTACGAGGCTCCTTATTTTAACTTAGACTATTGCAGTAGACTAGAACCCAAACCCTATTCGAGTTGTCAAGGCCCCTGTAACAACTGTTGCTAGCTCGCATTGCGGCTTCAAGATGGTGGAGGGACTGTCTCGGGGCGTGTGCTTTCTCAGGCTGTCGAGAGCTCTCCAAAGACTCGTCACCTTCTTGTAATAAATATAGGGACCTAAATAATTGCCAACACTATTTCGGGGGTTCCTTGTTATAACTGTAGCATAATGGGCCCCAAAGCCCTAGTCTAATCATTAAGGCCCCTATAGTAAACTCCGAAGCGGTGGTCAACATGCTGCTTCTCTCAACACCAGCGAAGTCCTTCTTCCGGGTTTGGGCTTTAGGGATTAGGCTTACAGGGTTCTGTAGGACTTCTTGAAAGTCTGCATAGTCTAAGGGCCACGATGAGGTTTCAGTATTCAGAGTTTCATAAGGGAATGCTCCGCTCAACCCATCTAGCAAAGTCAAAGTTGGCCGCCGGAGGCTGAAGAGAAGCCCGCTCCCGAACCCTTCAGCCTGCACTCTGCTCTTAAGACTACCTCAATTAAGCAGGACATGGGTTTCCGGTTTCCGTGATAAAGCCCTAAAACCTGAACAATTAAAGCCCTACCGGTTCATCTCAAACCTTTGTGGGTCTTGTCTGCGTCATCCTGGCCCCGACCGTGAACCTGCATGCCCTGACTGACTCGTTCCATGTCCTACAGGAAGTATCCTATTGACCTAGTTGGAGGTACATCTTGGCGCCCCTTACTTTGAAAACTCCACAGTTTTATTTCTACAAAACGACCTAGTCAGCCTTCATTTAATCCCAATACCCCAAAACCCTAGATCCTATATCCTGGCCGATGCTCTTCAAAACAGCCTGCTGCGAGGAAATGCGGGTGCAGGTTGAGGCCATCTTACCCAAAGTATGTGCTTGGGTTTTGCGGGTAATTTCGTGGTTTAGGGTTTAGTAGGTGTTGTAGGGTGTTTCGATTCGAGGTTTCGGGTCAGAGTGTTTTGAGGATTAGGGTTGAGGTGCTGTAGGGTTTAAGTTAGAAGCTGCCCCCACCCTGTTATAGTGCTATAATAGGAATATAATAGGGCCCTAATATAACCATATATACTCCTTATGGTCACTATTACAGGGTGAGGGCCCCTTCTAAGGTTTAAGCATTCAGGGTTCAGAGTTTCGAGGTTGAAGGTCTGTGGGCGTTATGGGCTCAAGCCATGGTTGGGATGTCTCGATGTTCCAATGCGCTTGTGATTGTGGGCTTCGGAGTACCATACCGTAATACTTTTTCTTAAAGGAACCATTATGAAACAACAGTTTATATTTTTTCTCCCTGATTTCGGGAAGCGCGGTAGATCAATGGTAGCTACTTGGAGGGCAAGTACCTCACGGCACATATCGGTACGATGTTCTTCGTTGAACCCTAAATCCTAATCCCGAAACACTACACAAACCACAAGCACTTAAGTCGGGTGGATGGGGTTGAGAACATTGGAACTCGATCTCGCAGTTCGTGGCAAAACTCATGCCAAACCCTCCCAGAACCTGAGAAGCCTGCCTTTCTAGGGCTCCTTGTTATCATCCAAACCCTGACCCCAAACCCTAAACCCCAAAACCCCTACAGTAAACCCCAAACCCCAAATCCTCAACTCCAAGACCCCAAGCCCTAAACCCCAAGACACAGAAAGCAAGTGCAAGCATCGGAAGCCCTCGACCGGGGAGCTTCAGCTTGCCTCCGCGATATGTACAAGTGATACTCTTAGGGTTTAGAGTTTAGGGTTTACTTAGGGTTTAGAGTTTAGGGTTTGGGGTTGACAAAATTTCGGGCCCTAAGCCAGCCCGAATCCCACCTAGATGACCAAACCGTAGGGCTCCCACCCCCTCGCAGGTGCGTCTAGCTGAGAAGGACTCGGCCTGCTTCAGGGCGTAGGGTGGCTAAGGCTTACGTTGGGGTTGAGGTTGCAGAGTCTAGGACCCAGAGCAAGACCTTATTCCCTTTTTTGGGGTTCAGGTTCCCTTATAACAAACTTTAAACCAAAAAGGGCACCCTTTTTATTCCTGGGTTACTCTTGGGTCTAGGAGTTGAATGGTTTAGGGTGGAGGCTTTGGGACTTGTGGTTTGCAGTTGTGGAGCTTAGATTTGGCGGCGCGCCTCCGACAATTAAGACACCGGCTCGGGGGTTTGATTTCTGCAACCCAGAGACTCCAATATCCCTTCATTAAGGAATACACCTTAAATCATATGGGGGATCCTACTTAAGGCAAATTCCTTAAGTAAAAGATATTGGAGTCTCTGCGATTTGTGCGAGAAGGGGAGCTGTCTCTTTTGGGAAACCCTGCTGCGGTGGAGCAATGGTCCGGGATACAGTCAGTACGCAATGAGTCGGGCTCTAAGCGCATGACCCCAAAGTCAAGGCAGGTGCTTGCCCTAAACCCTAAACCCTAAACCCTAAACCCTACCCGCCTGTAAGCTATATCCCTGAGCCCTGAACTCGAACCGTAAAATCCTAAAGTCCTCAAGCCCGAACCCTAAACCCTAACCCCTACCCTAAAAGCTAAACCCTAAACCGAACCCGAAACTTGAAATCCCGAGCATGTCCTTACGGCCTTCTGCGGTTCTTGGGAGCCTACAAGCACAGCAAAGACCAGCTCCCACGATTGCCCGACGCTGCCCAAACCTGCATCCTTCAAACCTTAACCCCTCCAACCTAAACCCCCAAAAACCTCAACCCCAAAACCCTAAACACTCTAAACCCTCAAAACCCCCTGACCTAAACTTTCTAAACCGTGAAGGCCTAAAGGCCCTTAACCCAAAAACCCCCCACCCTGGGCTGCATGAGCTTCTCGGATCCCTAGTGCGAGGAAGCCTCTCTGGCTCCCTTACGCTCACAGCTCGCGAAGGTGGCGCCCTCCAGCCTAGGTTTAGGCTTTTAGGGTTTAGGGGTTTGGGGAAAAAGGGGTTTAGGGTTTAGGGCCTAGGGTTTAGGGTCTAGGGCCTTAGAGGTTTAGGGTTGAGGGGTTAGGATATAAGCTTGAGCCATCCCTCATGTTGAGTTTCGGATTCAGTCTGAAATCTCCCAGGAAAAGGAGATAGACAGGGCACAAGAAAACTTGCAACCGACTCTGAAACTGTCAGCCCGAGCTTTTGATTCCTCTAGCGATTTCAACCCAAGGCCGCCCCATGACGACCAAGCCACATGGGCGCTACGCGCACTGAACGCCCTGAGCCCTTCAACCCTAGGCCCTAAACTACTTATATAAACTTACTCTAGCTGAGTAGGTGACCTTTAACCTTCTGGGGTTTATATATTCCTACCATAATTCAACAGGCTAACTTTTTTGGGGCTAGCGTATTCAGCCCATAAGGCCACACCATTAAACCTACAGTAGAAGCCAGAAAGTTGGAACATGGCTTTAGGGGGATTAGTGCTAGGATCCCTTATACTTTACCTTAAGGGCATGAGGAGAATGATGCTCCAACTTTCTGGCTTCTACCATATATCCAGCGACCCTATTGGCCAGAGCCCTCGATCCTAGCCCTCACCCCGAAGCGGGCCTGGAAGCAACTCTGTTACGTACAAATGTAGATTTAATACAGGGTCCTAAAGAATTACTGATTGTGCCGTAGGGGTCCTTATATGATACTTGACTCAATCTTCATAGTAACCCTGATAGTAACCGTTTAAAGTATCCTTTTAGGAACCCTACTCTAAAGTATCAGGCCCCTCTATTAAGATGCTTTCATCGGTGATCAAGGATCCCTCTAAACAACCTATGAACCATCCTTGAACAAAGAAGGAGGGGCAATCTGGCTTTTGTCGTAGGAGGGCTCGAAGCGGATTGGATCACGAACAGCCATATACTCGGATACTCGAAGCCGATTCTCTGGACTTTTAACCCTACTTGACGGCCAGATGTACTGGCAAGCACGATTAGAATTATAGAAGCGATCGTCATAGGAAGGCATGGTCCCGATTAGGGTGCTTATGCGGTAGTCGCCAGGGTATATACTACTGGATGCTGGTTTCTGAACTTCTTTCGAGTTAATCTTCTATGTCTTGGTAACTTAGCCCTAAACCCTAAACCCTAAACCCTAAACCCATTCATCTCGGAATCGGCAAGTCGCCCTTGCCAAGGCCTCCCAGTCGGCCAATGAAAATCGAATTCTCTCCACGTCTCTGCAAGACCAGCTTGCTGTTGCGCCTTGGGCAGGAGTTTACACGTTAAAGGGAACTCCAGAAAGTTGGAATATGGTTTCAGGGTAGGATACCTTATAATTTGGCATAAAGGGCTTAGGATAATCATATTCCAACTTTCTGGCTTTTACTTTAGGAGGCTGAGATTTCAGGGTTTGGGGGTTCAGGGTAAGGGCTTAGGGGTCCAGGTATTTAGGGCTTAATGCTTTACTGGGCGCTGGAAAAAATTCTAAGCACTTGAGCAGCCTGCTTCCGACAAGTTTGGTGCTGAAAATTCAAGTACTCGGCCCCACAAGCCATACCCTAAATTAATTGGAAATGCACTTATACCTTAGTGTGCCATGCACGAAAACCCGAGTCTAATTACTTCGGCTCCTGTATTAACCCGCTCCGCGTTTGAACCAGAAGCTTTACAGCTTGCCAAACCCTGTGGAAAGAATGCAAATCACGAGGGGAGTCCTTCTTGGGGCGTCGCCTTCGCAACGGGGCTGTATGTTTTTGACTGTTAGGGTCCCTTGTTCTCGGAAACTCCCAATCTTGGTTCCAAAAGTCTTGCACGCTACATTCAGGCGAGCAAGTACATCCTACACCCGGAGTCCTAAACTCTAACCTTGGAGCCCTAAACCCTAACACCCTAAAGAAGTTCTAAACTCCCTACATCTAAGGTCAGCCTCGCCAACCCTCAGGGTTTGGGGGTTTGGGGTTTAGGGTAGGGTTATGGTTGCCGTCTTCGGGTTTACGGTTCCTGGTTTTAGGGTTTAGGGTTTGGGGTTTCGGATCCTAATCGGAGCCCTATTGAATACTTCTTAATGTTTTCCCTGAGCCAGCCGCTTCCCGCGCACACTCTAGGGCCCTAGCCGAAGCACTGACGACTCACCGTTCTATAAGTGGAAGCCCGCTGTAAGCCGAAGCCCTAAACCCTGAGGCCATAGAGTGCTGAATGCTACAGGTTTTAGGGTTTGCGGTTCTAGGGTTTAGGGTTTAGGGCCTGCGGTTTAGGTACCTGAACCAAAGTCGGTGGAGTCCCTCGCCCCTCTCCTCCAATGCAGATAGTTCGCTCACAATCCCAAGGAGAGGGTCAACGAAGTTGTGGAATTCGCTGAGATGAACCCGGGGTCGTTCATGCGAGCCGACACGTACAACCGAAATAAGACGAAGTACTGAGTGGACCAGTGGAGACGAAGGTGAGTGCTTCGATGGCCCAGAGTCAGCTGCTGCGAACGAGCGGCGCAACCTCGTACCAGCAGGACGTCACGAATTCACGATTGACAATGACAACGGCGACCAGTTTAATCGCTAGTTTGACATGCCGAACTGCCCCCACTTGCGCTTAATGCACATTCCCACGTTGACTGCGTTGCATGAAGTTTTGCAGCAACACGACTGGGAAGGATGGGTGCTGCTGGAGAGTGTGCTTTCAAACACCATGCAGCGCCCAGCACGGCTTTGATGGGCAGGCAACTTAGATTTGCCTGGGAGCCGATGGCGGCTTCGATTTGAGCCGCGTCCTGCAAAAATAACTGTAAACATGAGTTTTTCCAAACTACTAGTAGTCATCATAATAGTCACAATGACTGCTCACATTAATTATCCTTCTGATAATATGCATGGATGAACCAGTCGGTACGAAGAACGCACGTCCCTGCAACAGATTTTTGACTCAGCTTGAGCTTCCAATCACAGTATCCTTATTACCATGGTTGCAAAGTGAGTGAAAGCAAGCCTACAGTGTCTCAAATCTCAGACAGACAAGCCCAAACCGTAAACCCGCATAATCAGCAAGTCTCCCCTTCAAAGGAGAAAATCCAAATGCCTGCAAGCCTGAAACCAAATGCCCTAAATCCTATCGGAAAAGGCTTACAGAGCCAACGGCCAACAGCCAGAAAGCAAAGTTTGCACGTTGAGCCCCACAAAAAATATGCAGCAGCAAAGCGAAACACAACCCAAAAGCTTATGCTGAAACTCTAAGCTCCTACATCCTCATAACCTGAAATCCGTAACCTTAAACTAACTCCTAAAGCCCGTAAGCCCGGCAATCCTCCTCCCGTAAACGCTAGACCATCCCAGGTGGTGAAGACTTCGGAAGCCCGTGCTGCGGCCACAGCCGAAGCCAAGGCATTCCTGTTTGGGGAAAGATCATAAGAGGCCAAAAGGGGTTTTGGCCTATGGGGGTTTAGTAGGGATTAGTAATAATATAGGGTTCCCATAATGGGGTTCCTTGTTTATTGTAACTTTCCTGCATCAGGCGTCTGTGCTACTGGGTTCGTCGACCTGCTCATTGTTGCTATCTACACCCAGATCCCCCAGAGGGGCGTTGCGCTATCAGACGGGTGTTACGTGTTCCTTAAAGGCTTGGTAGGAGAGATTTCTTTAAGGGTTCCTGAAACGGTTGCGTACTATAAGAATCTTATAAGAGTCCTAATGTAGGAACCTGATTAAGAAACCCTGGCCCTATAACCCCAAAATAGTAGGATTCATACAAGGAACCCTAATAAAGACCAAGGGTTTCTTAATCAGGTTTCTACATGATTATACTATCCATATAGATCCCTTATAGCAGCCTTTATAGACCCCTTTAAAGGTTCTGCAGAAGGAGGTTCAGGGGGGATGAGGGGTTTAGGGTTTCTAGGAGCCTGCTCCATCGGGCTCCTTCATGGTTTGGAGTTTAGGTTTTGGGGTTTTGGGTTTAGGATTTAGGGCTTAGGGTCTAGGGTATGTATTTCAGACCCCGAACACCTATTGAAATGATTAAGGCACCTGGACTACGTGCCTGTACGTTCCGGCACTGTCGGGAGCTATGGCGACCGCCGGGCCAGCAGAATTCCAGCCTTCCAGAAGCCCTGCAAGTGCAGCAGTCTGCAACACCCAGCAACCCAAAAATCCTAAACCCTGAACCCTGCAACCCCTAAAACACCAAAAGCCTTAATATGCTTAGGCTTTAGGGGTTTAGGGTTCACTGTTGAGGCTTCACGTGTTTAGGCTTTTGGGTTTGAGGCTGTAGGCTGTAGGAGTGCGGGTCGAGGGGTGAGGGTTTAGGCAACCCCACAGGAGCCTTTAACTTAGATAGCCAATGGGGGAACTTTAAACTTTTAAGCCTTATATATCTGGTCTATCTTAGAAAGTTTAAACTTTTTGGGGCCCGATTATTGAAGGAGAGAGTTAATGAAACCCTTACGAACACTTTACTCAGAACTTCTCTATCAAAGGCGCACGCACCCGACCGACCCTAAATTTGCCCTCGAACCTGAAACCCTTCAGCCGGATATCGTTCAACCTAAAGCGGAAAGCTTTAAGACTTAAGCCTTCGAGCCCGAAAGCCTGAAAGTTCAAAATCCTAAACCTTCAAACATGAACCTCTAAGTCCCTAGCTAAACTACTATTTGCTTAAGAACCCCCAAAAAATGAAAAATATTTTCCTCATGGGGGTAATATAGGGAATTTTTTTTTAGTTTTTGTGGGTTTCTTAAGCAAATAGTAACCTTCGAACCTGACACTGGCAAGCCCTATCCTGCGAATCCTTTGTGGATCCCTTTCAGGAGACCCCAAACCCTGAAACCCTAAACCCCTAAACCCTAAACCTATGATAGAACACCTAGTCAAGCCTCGAGTGTGACAGGCCCGCTGTACCGCTGCAGAGGAGCGTTGCGCAGCGGCGCACAAGGCACAAGGTATTTTTCAGTGTTTGACCGGTCAATGTTATCGAGGTTCCTGAAAGGTTTCTATAAGGGTACCCTTTTGCCCTTTTGCTTCTTGGGTTTCCTTATCAAAACCGAGTATTAGGCAAAATGGTACCCTTATTATTAAGGGGTTACTCAGGAACCTAGGTTTGAAGGGTTGTAAGTTGAAGCTCTGATAAACCCTTCAACTTTGTAAAGCCCGCTGCACGCTTATTGTCAGAAGTTACCAAAGTAGGTTTGGACAGCCTAAAGATCCGAATCCAAATCGGTTGTATACCCGAAATAGTTGTTGTACTTGCGATGTGTACACAGGCACATACACATGCATACATACATCCGTATACACATGCGTGCATACACAACACACCTACAGGCATACTACACACACGAACGCAGAACCGCCAAAGATCCACGATCGCTACTGTAGGGGCCTAAATAATAGAGTATAGTATAATGGGCTAGGAAAAACAATTCTAAGTTTTTAAGGCCCCCCATATTACACGGGGTTGGGAGTCCATCAGGTTCTAGGGACCAAGTGTACCTGCAAGAGCTGTAAACTCTAAACACCAAAGCCCATACCCTGAACCCGGAATCCCCTCAGGTCTCAGTTCCTTCAAGACCTAAACATTGACAATGCTCCGAAGCCCTAATTCAGCCCTATACCCCAAACCTTCAAAGCCCAAGATTATCCAACAAAACCTAAAGCAGGAAGTGGAGATCTTCTCCGGGCGCATCACCGCGTTGGAGAAGGAGCCGTTCTTTCAGGTTTAGGGTCTGGGACACGGTTTTGGGGTTTGAGGTTTAATGTAGCGGCTTGGGTAGTATTGCTTCCTTAAAATGATGTGTTTGGTGTTTTGCAACGGTTTCGTAGCATAATGAGTCATAACATTACCAATTCAATCTGTACAAAACGCCCAGAACCTGTTCTAATTACTTAATGCCCTCCCATAATATTCGGCTATTCGGGGCATCTCAGGTTGACCCAGGCTTAGAGCATAAAGAGCCAAGGTCCTAAAGCCTTTGCCTTCAACGACGTACCTTAAATCCGACTTGGAGGTTTATGGGTAGTTAGAAGTGGTGTCATAAGTAGGGACTACAGTTATAACCCATATTAGGGGACTTATATCTCATAAGTACCCATGAACCTCCAAGTAAACCCCCTAAGCCCAAACAGTTGTCCACCTGCATCGCGTAAAGCCTTCGTGCGCTTGTTAGGGGTCTCTTTCATCTCTGGCTCTAGGCGCCTGAACCCGAAAGCCCGAACATAGAATCCCTAATAGTCACCCACATTTTCCTTATGGTGTATGTTTATGGCTATTCTTGTTAGTATGATTACTTTTGTTTAACTAGTCTTGTTGTTATTTTTGTTGCTATACTCCCATACACCTCAAAGCCCTGTTCCAATATCCAACGGCTTCTCAGCTAGGTCTCGGCTTAGGGCCGCGCCATGAAGGTTTAGCGTTTATCTAGGGGTTTCGGGGTTTCAACGTAAGCACTGTCTATAACACCGCATAGCCTACACCCCAAGACCTACGCTGCGGGGCTCAGCGTGCCGAGCCGAGCGGCAAAATTCCGCACGGTCCAACAATAAATCCGAGGGTAACCTGGAACCTAAAGACCTCCAGCTCTTCCCATCCCCAACCCCAAATCCTATAAACCCCAAATCCAACAAGTTAATAGCGAAAGTACTAAAGCCATAACGTGGATCTAAATACAAAACCCAAGAACTAATATGGGTGACAGTAGGGCTGTCAAAAAAAAAGCAGGAGCGGGACGACCTCCTCGAGGAACTGGAGGCATCGAAATGCGAGACCCGCGCACTGCAGCAGGCGCTGCTGGCATACTGCGGCCTCTAAGGTTCGATAGGTTACAGGGTTTAAGGGTTATAGGGTTTAAGGTTCAGGGTTATTGTTCAGGGTTAATTATAGGATTTAAGGTTTAGGGTTATAGAATTTAAGGTTTAGGGTTGTAGCATGGCCAATAATGGCTTTCTTTAGGTTCAGGCCCGAGTGTGGGGTTCAATGGTGTGTTGGCAAATCAGCCCCAAAAGAGTTCTATTTGGGTGTTGAGGTTTGGTCAGTGGTTATGCTTGGAGGTTCGTGAGGCGTTATAAGTTAGGTTGTATGTAGGGTAACTATAGTTACAACTCATGCTAGGGGACGTATAACCCCAGTAATAACTGCCGTGAACCTCCAAGTAGGATTCTCGAGTCACCACTTCGCGGAATCCGTGGTTGGGGCCAGTTTATCGGAGGCCTCACAAGGTGGGATGAAGGTAGGTGGGATTAAGGATCCCTTATATGAGGACTCTTAGTTGGGAATATCCCACCTACCTTCATCCCACCTTTTGAGGCCTCCGAGTTTAGGGATCGCGGTCAGGGCTGCGAGCTGGACGGCATTGCAGTGGCAGTAAGAGTCCACGTCGTTGTCGTGTGAGTAGGAGTGGGAGTAGGCCTAGGCGTAGTAGTAGCAGTAGTAGTAGTAGTAGTAGCAGCAGCAGCAGTAGTAGTAGTAGTAGGTGGTGGTGGTGATATGGAGCCATAGTTGGACGGAGGACGCAGCAGTGCCACATGGGAAAAGCAGATGGCCGCTTCGCGGAAGAGGCAGTTCATCCAAGGTGGAGAAGCTTCCTGGGCATGTGGTTGAGATGCAGGCCAATCCCAGACCCCCAGAAGGATCTAGAAAGTAGATCCCCTAATTTGGAGCCCTATACTACTAGGGGTACTTTGTAGGAACCTTCATTAAGGGATCTACTTTTTGGATCCTCCCGGGGGTCTGGGATGAAGACAGTTCTTCTTCTTGCCAATGAAATCATCCGTTCAGAAAGACCTGCCCGTTTGCCGAAGAGACCTTTGACTCGCTTTCATCCCTCACTTAGGGGGCCGCAGACTATGCGGAGAGGATCCAAGTATCATTATGTCATTATGGTATATACTTAGACCCCCAAAATACCCAAGAAGTATATATACTAGAATGATACTTGGACCCGTTGCAAGCAGGCAAAGGAAGTGAATCCCGAAGGTGTTGAAGCTCGGGAGCTGGGCGACGGATAACATGGGAGTTTCCGAAAATAGGGGAACCTAATATGGTACCCTAAATAGTAGGATCCTTATTATAAGGACCCCCAAATAAGGTACCCTAATTTTCGGGAAGCTCCCATATGGACTACAGGGTCACCTGTGGGGTAAGCAGTGCTCTTTCTCGCCCGCGACACCGGACCCAGACGGTCCTTCTGAGCAGTTTTCGAGTGTGAGCGGCGGGCCGCGTTGCTTCAAGATGGCTACCGGCTGGCGAGCGGCACCAGTTATGTATCCGCAGCGCAAACTGCTGGAGCCACCAATGCAAATTGCACGTTCTGTCTTGCGTCCTGTCGTTCAGCGGGACTAGGAGTAGGAGTAGGGGTGAGTAACGGCAGCGTTTTGGGTTTAGGGGTAAGGACTTAAGAAGTTATCGGGTGTAGAAATTTGCCAGGGCTGTAGCCGTTGAACTTGAGGGCCTCAAACACCAAGGATCCATTTGCTTCTTGAAATTCCAAGGTCAACTGTTCATGCCTACATTGCTCCACCAACAAAAAGGGTTAACCCCAAGGTCCATTGAATTCCACAGCTCAAAATAAACCCAGCTGCCCTAGCCCTTGAGACCCTTCTTACAAGTTTGCGGTCCTCGGTTGGAGTGTGGTTTAGGGTTCGAACCTGTAGGATAAGTACCTTGCATTGCTACGCCTACTGGCGAGACATGTGTGGAAAGGCATAGTTGCCTATACGAGTTTATCCAGGCACGGATATAGCTATCATACAGGGAGCTACTGCCTAGTCATACCTGTAGCTATCTCACAACATCCCGCAAGTACACATGCATCGTTGCTTGGGAACCCCAAATCCTTGGGGCATCAAGTTAGGGTTAACTCCCTGAACCTTAAACCCAAATCCCTGAACCTTAAACCATGTGTATCAACTCTTCCCCTATGTATAAACTCTTCGTCATGAGGCCTACGATGAAGCAGGAGGGGCTTTGTGCGAGCGCTACGGCGAGGTGGCGGGGTTGTGTTCGAATCGTGGCAGACCCTGGGTTTATCTAGGATGCCCAATAGTACCCTTATTCCCTTTTTGTAGTCCTAGGTTCCTTATAAAGTTACCCAATACCAAAAAGAGAGGCCTTTTTATTCTTAGGTCACTGGGTATCCTAGTTATACTGGGGCCGGAAAATCAGTAAGAGTATGAGAGTATAGTCCCTGTATGATGGCACTACGAGATACCCCAAAACCTTTATTCGAGTCATCACTGTTCCTAAGTTAACCATTACTTCAATGGGCCGAACTACTAACCTTAAAGCCCTCCACGAAGCGAACGGTCCGAAAAAGTCGCAATGCTGATCCTTGGGGTACTCTGTATGCAAGCTTGCATGAGACCCTGAACCCTGGAACTCGAACACGTTGAAGCCGAAACACTAAGTTTAGGGTTGCGACGTCACAGATACATACTATGCCTAAGTAAACCCCATGGAGTCCAATTTTTTCGTTTCAGGCTCACTCAACCCTAGGTCCATCGGCAGTTCAGTTGTTCATTCTCACGGTGTTGATGCTCTGGCTATTGTTTTATAGGCTGTAGTTATACTGCGGATTTAATGATGATTGTTGCCATTGTCGATGTCGCTGGGTCTTCAATGGCGTTTTAGTGGGGCCTCCGTGTCTATTTCACAAGCACATCATATTGGACACATGTATAGGTGTGCACGTAGACCCATGCACGCATGTGTGCACAACTGCGTGTGAGACCCGAGAACAAGTGAAGACGCGAGTGTAAGGACATGCATGTGGGCATGTGTCCGTAGACGTGTGTCTGTGTGCGTGTCCGCTCTGTGAAGCATCCTTGAACCTTTGCACACATGTAGTCGTTACATCGCCGGATGCCTCTCTGTCGTCTGCCTGTATAGTTGCCTAACCCTGTGTCCTCAATCAGGGAGCACTGTCGGAAGAAACGCATTAGTAGAAGGTTCGGGATAATTAGAAAAGCTACTTGATACCATTCCGCCAAGCTTCCTTAGGGCTCCCTATTATTATTATAACTAATACTATTACTGTTTTGTTAATTGGTATCCCTTGGCATCCGCCTCAGCCCTATTCCAAGTAGTGTCGCCCCTGCATTAAACCAGTGCTCCATTGTCGACTGCGGAGCTCGGAAGGGGTTCAGGGTGCGGGTGTTCGAAATTTGGGGTTCAGGGATTCACGGTTTGGGGGTTTAGGGGTTTTGGGTTTAGGGTGTCATAAGATCAACATCAGTTCGACGGGAGTTTTCGAGATTATGGTAGAAATATAAGCAGGAACTAAAAGAAGGAACACTTAACAGTGGGCTCTAACTGAGGTCTTGTACTCTTGCTTATAGCCTACAGGTGCCCTAGAGCAAAGCTCCCTCCATTTTAAACCCTAAAACAGAAGAAGAGCGTGTAAACAAGGCAACGAAATAAGCACCACAAAATCGAAATCCCTTCTTTAAGCCCTGCAAATTCCTGAGGGCCTAGGGGTGTTTCCTGCGCGGCCGCATCCCATCGCAGGCCAACCGTCAACGAGAGCTCGTGCAGTTCTCGGTTTCCTCCTGCTGCTTGGGGATACAAAAGACGGGATCAAAATGGTTTGGGGTTTTAGGTTTTAGGGTTCAGCGTTTTAGGTCTGGGTGTAGGGTTTACAGCTTTTCCGGTTTAGGAAAAAAGTGTATTCGTTTTAGGGTTGCGGCCCGTGCACCTACAAACAGGCCTCCAAGTCTGGCACATGGAAGATACAGGTCCGAATCGGGTTTAGGCTTGAGGGTTACGGTCCGAATGAAGTGTAGCAGTATTCCTTATGCTTCCCTCCTTAGTGATATAGTAGAATCGGCAGGTGTGCACGGGCACCGTGGTGCCGATAGTACAGGGACCGGAACGTAATCCCAGTATCCTGTAGTTGTAGGCATTGCAGGCCTTATAAATGCATATACGACAATTAGTCTATGTATGAATGCCTCCATACTACGCAGCAGGTTCCTTGAATCCTTCAGCCGAGATTGGCTCAGGCCGGGTGTACAGTGCGGTGGCGTACAGCTGTTTTTCGTGCTTGCGTTGGCTCCAAAGCATGATGACGGAAGTCTCCGTTGCGCCCGAGTGCTCGGCAGCACAAAGCAGCTTGGTAGCTGAGTGGATACACCTTACAATTTTGGGTGTATTTCTACCCACTATAAAACTGAAAGTGTACACTGTTTGCGGGCTTATGAACTCAGCAACTAAGGCAATGTCAATGTGTCGAAACCCAGCATAATGTCCGGAGATCGGTCCGGTGATGTGGAGATGGGGCCATCCATCCAGAAAGAAGCGGATGGCCGGCTGCAATTTTCTTTCCGGGACTTCAGAAACTGCGGCATCGCCTTGCACTTCTTTGGAATGGGATTCCTTCGCGCTGGCGTAGATGCCATTTTCTTCAACGTGCTGGAAGGATACCTGAACGTGCCAAGCAACGTCATGAAAAGTGCCACGAGCCTTGTCCTGACGCCCAGTGCCTTCACTCTGGCTTTCGGCATCCTCAGCGATTCTCGGCCAATCTTTGGCTTCCGACGCCGTCCTTACATGGGAGGAGGCTTTCTGCTGGCGTCGGCAAGCTTCGTTATTCTAATTATCCTTGGCCTGCCTGATCCTTACTTCTGCTTCGTGGATGGTCGGTACCTGGACCAGGAGGCCCCTTGCAACCCAGAAGCTCCGGATGCTTACGGTCCTTTGATGGTCTGCCTCTGCATGGCTAATCTGGGCTGTGTGGCAGCCACTGCTGCAGCTCAGGGGCTCGTAGTAGAGTATGCCAAAGCCGAGCCTGAGGAAATCCGCGGCCGAACGCAGGCCATGCTGCAGATAGTCATGTGTGCCGGAAGCATTTCTTCAGTGTTTCTTGCTGCCTTCGGGTTCAATGGCCGCGAGTTCACGGGAAGCTTCAACCAGAATGACCAGCTGAGCTACAGGCAGTTCCTTGTCATTTTTGTATTGATTTCAGGCGTGGTCGGGATCTCAGGCCTCTTCTGCGTCCGCGAAGGACCTGCATCACGAGCATCAATTCGGGCATACTGTCGGTCTTCCTGGCGCGTCTTTGAAAGCAAGGCGTTTTGCTCCCTTGCGCTCTACATCCTGGCCAACACGGCCGTCTTCTCAATCTTCACAAGTGCTGGAACTTGGGTGGGCCTTGAGTGGGCTGGGACCAAAGACATGCAGAGGGAACTTAGCAACTTAGTAGTAGAGCAGGTAACCTTTAACCTCTGTGGGGTTTTGTTACCCCATGTAACCCCTATATGAGAGTTTCCGAAAACAGGGGACCCTAATATAGTACCCTCAATAGTAGGATCCCTATTTTAAGGACCCCAAAAAATATGGTTCCTCTAATTTCCGGAAACTCCCATCTTATCCCAAAGTTTAACCTTTGGTTCCTCCATAATACTGCGCAACTCAGGCAATTTCCTGGGCATGATCCTTGCGATGCTGGGAAGCTGGCTCACTCAGAGGAAGGAGTTTCCGAAAAGTGGGGGAATCTTATTTTGGGGTCATTATAATAAGGATCCTACTATTTAGGGTACTATATTAGGGTCCCCTAGTTTCGGAAACTCCCAGGTAAGAACGGTAGGATAACCGGGTCACCTATTTTCGGAAACCCCCAGGTATCTTCTCAAAGTCAGCTGGCGCAAGACGGTCTTTGCTAGCATCATCCTCCCCGTCGTCCTTGACATGGCTCCCCAGTTTCTGACGATTTTCGATATCGTGCGGAATCAGTATCTGGGCTTTGGAGTACCATACTCTATTACTTTTTTCTTAAAGGAACCATTATGACGTGAAAGTTTACTGTTTCTCCCTGGTTACTTAAAAACCCAGGTATTTCTACCTCGGCGAACCGATCACTTCGTACGTTCCCGAGGCTATGGCAGACCTGATCTACCTCTTCATGGTGAACGAGTTTCTTATTGGCTGTACAGTCAACTTTTCAACTTTTGGGGCTCTTATAAGGTAGTCGATTCTGAAAGTTTCATATTTTATTCCTTGGGTTTTGGGCCAGTGAGGTTTGCGGACGGAGACAACTCTGCGCTTATGTTCGGCATGGTGGCGACAGTCAAAGCTGTGGGACAGCCCATGTCCGTCATGTTCTCGAATGAAATCTTCTCGTTCTTCACACCCGACCTGTTTTCGAGTGCGAACTACATAGAGGACACGCAGTCCTTTCGGTGGACAGTGGCTTCCTCATTCTTGCTGTCCTACGTCATCAAGGTTCTTGGCATAGGGACGCTTTTGCTGCTGCCCTCGCAGAAAGAAGACGCGCAGCAGCGAAAGACGGAATGGTCTAGACGGCCGCTGTTTGCCATCATCTCCATCGCCGTGCTCGGTGTCTGTCTGCTCTTCTCTTTGGTCGGAGACTTCCTCGTTCTGGACCCTTCTCTGACATGCTTGCACCTTCTCGGTGGAAAGGGCTGCTGAGTCAAAGGGGGGTTAGGGGTTTGAGGGTGTTTGGTAGTTGGGGGTTTGGGATGGAGCTTAACCCTCACCGTATGTTGAAGTCGCTTCGGCATTGCAGGGGACTCCATTGTCCTCACAAGGGCGAGGGCAGGTCGCGGCCAGAAAAACGATTGTACAGCTGCCGGTATCCCCTGCATGAGCCTATACAGTGAGAGCATGCGAGCCATTGCGAGCCAATGCTTCTCAATTACATTGAACCTGCTTCAGCAGGTCCGTGTTCCCTTATCTTCCATCATCCAAGACAGATTCCAGAGATAGAGTCAGTTGTAAAACTGAGCGAACGATGTTGAGCACAACCTAGCAACGAAAAAGGCTGCAGTTGCCAAGACCATCTTTGTCTGCTATGCTTTACTGTCCTTGCAAGTTCTCAATCCAAGCTTTTGCAGCTGTCTCTCAGCATGTGGGTGGTTGTCAAAATTAAGGTCCCTTTTTGGGTCCCTACTATAATACGGCACCTAATATTTAGGGTACCCAAACAGGGACCCTAATTTTGACAACCACCCATGTGGGTCGCTCTGAGGATCCTCATGGTCAAAGTGACATGCTCCTAAACCCTGAACCCTAAACCCCTGCCTACACCCCGCCCCACAAGGACCTCAATTTAGAGCAGCCCCCCTCACCAAAAGCTAAACTCGCGGTTGTTCGCGGATTTTCAGGTAGAGTCGCTGCAGAAGGACATGCAGGACATCCCCGGTTTTGAATCTCAAGCGTGCGGGAGTATTTGGGCAGTTCGCCACATTAGCTCTCTCTTTCGAGGGTCATTGTTTTTATGGTAGAAGCCAGAGAGTTGGGACATCATTATCCCTGTGCCCTGAAGATAAAAAACTAGGCCATCACTGCACTTTTCATCTTTGTCCGATGTTTCAACTGTCTGGTGCTATCGATAAAGGTTCTGTATTCTGAACGCATGTACTTCGGGCTACTATTCTACGGATTACTGTAGAGGGTTGCCTAAGCTGATACTAGAAGCGTTCTGCAAGGGCCGTTTTCTAGGGTTCAATTTCAGGGCAGGGTTCACACCATCACCCTCAACCGCAGGGCTTGGCATTGACTGACTGATCATTGGGCGTAGGCTGCAATACGAGGTTCATGGGAATTTTAAGATGGCATTATAAGCCCCTCACATGGGTTACGGTTATGGTCATAGATACCCTACTATGATAGTTTATAACCACCAAGCAGGGCCACTTTGTCACACACACACACACACACACCCAACGGGCACACGTAAACGTGGAGGGGTAGGGGTAGGAGTAGGGGTTGGGGGGAGGGAGGTTCCATCTGCGTTGCAGGCCAGCCATATAGTCGGATTGTGTACGTGCGCCGGGCATCAATGTTACAGGACATGAAGACAGCCCGGAGATGGTGGAGGTGGCAAGAGAAGAGAAGGGATCCAAGCGACGGTCCTTTAATCTACAAGCTGCAGATTAACGTCGTCAAGGACGGCACAGGTGGAAGTTCGCCACATTTTCGATTGGCCGGCAACTGGATGCGACAACAGCAGACCAGCAAGCGGGAGAAGCGCAAGGGCCCACCATTTCGTTTCTCCAAAGTTCGAGAACCCGACGAGCCATTGCTTGTCGACTTCATCTCGACGGCCCAGTCGATCAACCGGATCTGGCCTCGGTGGTGGTCTGGGAGGGCTTGGTGGCCAATCCTGCTGCGGCGTATGGCATTTGCTAATGTGCGAGACACTCTTGGCCAAATTATTGAATCAAACATCGCAGCCACAAGCCGTATCCAAGGTCTAACCTGGTCTAACGTTTCGGGGTTGTGGGTAATCTAGGTCAAACGGGTTGAAATCATGTGTAATAATGCCCCAACCCTACTCAATGGCTCTTCAACAGTTCCAGGCTCGATAAATGTGCCGGAGTAATTACCGGAGTAATTAGTACTACGGTTCCTTCGTGCGAAAATGTACCACCCAACACCGTATTCTGATTATCAAGGTCCCGGTTTTGGGGCGTAGGGTTTCGGGTTGAGAGATTAGGGGGGATCTTTCAACCTTCAATCATCTACTGAAAGGCTCACGAGTAGGTATTCTCTGCGTTCAAGGTCCCTCTACTCAGGACGAAGTCTGGTCATCGAACCCCCACCTGTTCGTGGTTTCATATCCTAGGATGCCCAGTAGTACCCTTATTCCCTTTTTGTAGTCCTAGGTTCCTTATAAAGTTACCCAATACCAAAAAGAGAGGCCTTTTTATTCTTAGGTTACTGGGTATCCTAGTATCCAACCAGGATGTTCAACTGATTGAAATCACTGATGCCTTTCGCGCTAACCAAGGCCCCAATTTCATTATTCGCCTTGAATAGCAGACCAGGGGTTGAACCTAAACCCTAAAACCCCAAAACCCCAAAAACCCTAAAAGACCCTGAAACCCCAAACCGTAACCCTATACTTTTGGGGGGGTACTATGGTCCCTATATAATCTCGAACGTTAACCTTCAGTTGCCCTAGGAGCACTCAACCCTAAATCCTGCAAGCCCTATACTATCCTATACCATCCTATACCCTGAACCCTACACCCTAACCCTATACCCGAAACTCTACACCAAACCCTAAACCCTATACCACAAATCCTACATAGTGCGCAGGACTTAGAGAAAGAGTTGGCCGATGTCCACCTTGAGCTGAAAGCCACCAAGGCGTAGATGCCCGCAGCAAAGTCTACTATAGGGGCCTTTCTAAGGTTCCTTAAAGGGCTCTATAAGGGTTTGTATAAGGGTACAAAACGGGTACCAAAAGGGCCTAAGGGTACAAAGGGGCTTAAACAATTACCTATATACGTTTTTTAGTTTTTTTTTTTTTTTTTTTTGTGGGGGGGGGGGAGTCCTTTAAAGGGTTCTGCAGGTTCCTTAAAGGGGTCAATAAGGGATCAAAGGTATGGTTCTAGGGTATAGGGACCTAAATACTTATTTGGGGAGGTTCCTTATTATAATTCTAGCATAATGGGCCCCAACACCCTATTCTAATTGTTGATTAAGTCCTCTACATTATCAACTCGGAGCCTGGCAATTGCTTAAATCCTCAAGGGCAAAGGATTGAGGTTTTAGGGTTTATGAGGCTTAAGCTTGTAGGGATTGGGGTTTGTCAGGGTTGAGGTGTTGGAGGGTTTTAGGGCCAATATATAGGGTTAAGGTCAAGGTGTTAGGGTGTGGGGGTTAGGCAAGTCTTCAAATACCGTCATGATAAGTGTTGGAGCATGTAGTAAGGGCTGTCCAGGGCATTCGGAGCTTCTCCTGCTTCTTCTTCTTCTTGATTCGTGTAAGTCTTGTTGCTGTGCCGACGGTTGCAGTTGCTGATGCTGGCTCTGTTGTCGAAGTCGTTGAGTGTTGCTCGTGTTGCTGGTGGTGATGATGCTGGGGCTGGCCGTGCTGCTGGTGCTAGTGATGTTGGTCGGCGGTCGTTGGTCGGTGGTGGCGGCAGCGGTGGTGGTGGTGGTGGTGTCGGTCATGTCGCAAGCTGTTGGACAATCTTGGGGTTACCTCACCAAAGCGCCATAAAAATTCTAAACGTGTCTTCACCACATGGCTGTCTCTCGAGGTTTGTGTGAAAGGGCACAAGCTCATCCACCTATTCTGTGAAGCCACTCCTGCCGCGAGGCAGAAAATGCAGACTGGTGCGAGAGAGCCCCGGGCTTAGAATCATCCTGCCGTCACGTTTAGGGTTTAGGGTTTAGGGTTTTCCCTTAAACCGTACACCCTTGGCGGCTGAGACGACAACTAGTTAGTCGCTGTCCTGTGAACTTTCGGCTGTTCTATGACGGATATTCGAGTTTGGGGCTTGGTTTGCAATCCCTCGGATATGCAGCAGAAACATCATGGAATTTCATTATAGCAGCTGGGCAGAAAAATTATCGGGCAGCTGCTTAGAGCGTTAGGGCACTTGGCAGCCCAGGCACGATGATGGCAGTGCTCTTCACATCAACCTAGATGGTAGCTGGTAGTAAGGAAGATGACCAGTAAACCGCAGGATAGTACTCATGGTCATTGTTACAGCTTCGGGATCCAAGCTTAAGGCCTCCGTGGCAGCAGACCAGCTGGCACAGGGCCAGAGCAAGGCCAGTTTACCTGAGCTCGGCTTTTGTGTCGTCGTTGAAAGGACTCGGGAAAGACTCAGTAAGGCAAGAGGTTTGCTGTCGTCTTTGAAAGGATTCGGGAAAGACTCAGTAAGGCAAGAGGTTTGCTGCAGTGTTTGAAGGCTTTGGGTGTCGGGCTGTAGGTCTTATTGGCTGTAAGCTCAACTTTTCAAGTTTTTGGGTTCTGAAAAGGAAGTCGATTCTGAAAGTTTCAACTTTTGTTCCTTGGGGTTTTGGATCAGTGAGAGGATGATTAGGATTCGATGGGTTTCGGATTTGGCACTTCGGTATTCGACTGCTTGTGTTCGAAGATCTGGGGTGGGGCTTCCGCTTTAGGGAACTGCCTTTGTGGCTCTCGGGTGCTTTGCTGTTTCTGTTTGGGTTGAGTGGGGTTGAACTACAACAATCCACCTTGGAAGTAGGTTACATTAGGACCCTGCATACAGAAAAGCAGCATGTGGAGTTTCAGGTGGGGTGTAGGATTTGGAAATCAGAAGTGCGGCTTAGAGTTTTCAAATTGCTCTCAAAGTTCCGGAATGAATGTTCCTGAACTACAATGGGTTCCTCTGCACGCACCATCCCGAAGAAAATGTATCCCAAGTATCCCAAGCTGAGCGACAGAGATACTTTAGGGGCTTAGATAATTGCCAATACAATTTTAATCGGGACGTCCTTCAGAAGAAAAAGAGTACAATTTTTTTGGTTCCTTGCTACAATAAGTATAGTATAGTGGGCCCCAAGACCCTTCTCTAATTATTAAGGCCCCTATATTATAGAACCCTACTATAGGTCCCATACAGAACCCCTTTAAGGAAGCCTTTAAAGGAATCCCTATTCTTATTGTTAAGGCTCCTATGTTATTCCCAACACTCTGCTCCGACACAGTCGACTCCACTTGTGTCAGAGGCAGGTCGCAGAGTGAGCTCTCGCCTGCTGGCCCGTGACGGGTTTAGGGTTTAGGGGTTTAGGGTTTAGGGGTTTAGGGTAGCACTTTAAAGACAAAACCGAGGTTCCTCCTAAACACTGAAAGCCTCAACCCCTGTAGATGACCTGAAACTATATAGCCCTAAAACCCGAAGCCTAAACCCCAGGCCCTGAAACCTTATCCTACACCCAAAAGCAGCAGACCAGAATCCCAAAAACCCAAAACCCCTAAACCCGTGAACCCCAATCCCTGAACCCCAAACTTTAAACAGCCCGGCAAAGTCAGAGCCAGGCTGTGTCGGCATTCCTCAGGAAGTTTCCCGCCGCAGCGGCTCTGGCGATTCTTTTCCGTGGCTCGCCGCGGTCCAGGGTTTAGGGTCTAGGGTTTAGGTGCGCTGTTCTGGATTTGTTTGCGCTCTGAGGTTGTAAGTATGTCACCATCTTGGCAGTCCGAGTCCATACCCGACATATACATATACACACACATACATACACACACCTGTATAGATGTGTGTGTATATATGTTATACTTATATTTACAGTCGTTTATTATGTGTATCGTCTTATGCATACAAACATAGTTGTAAATAAGTAGAAATATATATGTATATGCATACATACATACATACATACATATATATATATATATGTGTGTGTGTCTGTGTAGATATTTCAAATGGTGCATACATAATCTTTTTATGTTTGTATTTATATAGATGTATTGTAAGTACAAACTTCGGTACACACACACACACCCATCCACCCACGAACCGTTTCCGGGAGCACCCATGAGGTTCCCGAAGCTGTCTGGGGCTATCGACCTTTTGCTAGGAGTTTTGGGGTTTAGGGTTTTTGGGGTTTAGGGTTGGATCCGTTAGAAGGGGCCCCCACCCTGTAATAGTAACTAAAAAGGATTATTAGGGCCCTATAACTTTATACCACTAATTACAGGGTGGGTGCCCCTTCTAATGGAGGAGATCAGGGTACCTGATTTGAGCCCTAAACCCTAAACCACCGTCTTGGTGATCCATACGTGTACACACACATATGTGTATGTACATATGCTTACATATAAATATAAATATGTATGTATGTATATATATATATATATATATATATGTATGTGTATGTGTGTGTATGTGTAAATATGTAATTCTTATGTGGTTTCCATTTTTTGCATTGTAACTGTTAATACGAGTGGTACCATTCATTGTCATTCGTACTACGGTTGATGGTACAAATCCTGCATTACCTTAAGGACCCTAGACTATGGGAATTATGGTATATTCCTCGTTATGGGTAATGCAGGATTTGTATCATCAACCGTAGATCTTTCGGAAGGCCGGGCCTGTTTGACAACTTGAGGCTGCGGCCCGACAACGAGGAAGCTCAAGCTCCCCCGACACGGGGGATCATACTTTTTGCTCTAGGTTCTCAGTATAAGCTTAATATGGACTTTATAGGGAGCCTACCAAAAAAGCACGTTTTGGTAGGTTAACTAACCATTGATATTGGGGGAGTTACGTAAGGAGCCAGGGATGATTATAATCCCTTATTGCCAAAGAGCCAGGGGAACCCCCAAAACCACTGGTTAGTAGCTTTTGGGCTAGGGTTTAGGATGAGGGGTCTGATGAAAGCGGGCCTCAACCCCCAAACCCTGTACCCCGAACCGCCAGCCCCCAAAAAAAGAAGCTAGCAAAACCCTAACCCTTAAACCCAAACCCTTTGTTCAGGGAGTTATTTTCCGTGCAAGTTTCTTTGATTGAAGTACGAAGCCAGTCATTTCGAATCTGGGGCGCGGCGGATGCTTTGAAGTTTGGGTTTAGGGTTCAGGATTCAGGGCTTAGGGTCTGTCTACTTGGAGTTTCATGGGTGGAGTCAAAAAGTCCCCGAATATGGGTTATAGCTATAGTTACCCTAGCCATAATCCCAGTTACAGCTCCCCCATGAACCTCCAAATATAGGTGTTTTGTGAAGTCGTCTTTGAAGCAGAATCTCAGGGGAGCCACAGTGAATAAATCTTAATATAGGGGCCTGAATAATTAGAATAGGGGTTCCTTTGAAGGCTTCCATGAAGGTTCTGTCAGGGATCTGTAGGAGGGTTCGATAATATAGGGGCCTTCATAATTAGAATAGGGTTTTGGGGCATGTTATACAATAACTATAGTAAGGAGCCCATAACATAGTAGAGGTGATGAAAATTTAGGCCCCTATAGTTGTTTTGGGGTTGTAGGGTTTGGGGTTCAGTGCCGTTTAGGGGTTTGGGTTAAGTGGGTGGGGGGGGTGTCGAGCGTGTAAGTTTGAACATGTTTGTACACGAGGTCACATCCTGGAAACTGCAGCTGACAACGTGGAGGCGTCGCTGAGAAAGCTGCGGTCAGCTTCGGAAGGTTGTCAAATCTTGCGATGGTTGTTGCACTGGCTCCTTCAGCGGGATGGCTGGGTTTGCTGACATTTCCTGACCGAGCGCCTAGACGGTTCTTCCTCACAAGCACGGCAGCATCATGATTATGACCACGATGAAGTTTGATGTGACTTCCATGTTGTTTCTCCTCGCTTGTAGAGGTGTTCGCCTGCATTTCGAAACCATCCCGCACATTCAAACCACCCACGGCATCCAGGAAGAGCTTCCTCACCGTAGCTGCTTTGATAACTTCTGCGGCACGCCCACTTATTGAAGCTCGTTACACATGGTGTCCGGTTGATGAGTCTCCCAGGAGCAGAGTAGGTAACCTTTATTCTTTTTCTGGTAGTATAGTCCCTAACAGTCCCTATACAATCCCTATAAAACCAAAAAGGTTACCCTTTAGTTCCCCATGATACCCGATAAGTAGGGTCTTCGTGGCCGCTAAGACGGGTACCCACCCAAAACTGTCCTGAGATCAAGAGCTTCAACCACAGGGTGGGGGAAACCTGTTTTTTGAAGCAGGCCGCCGTGCGACAACGCCTGTGCCTACATGGCGCGGTAGGGGAGGGGGGGCGGGGCTTGAGTTTTCAATGTCTCAGAGTTGTAGAATTAGTTTATGATACTCTGAAGGTTCTAGCCGGATTATGCCGGGTTTCAGGTAGTTTTTGTTAACTGAAGCCTTAACCCCAATCCCTCTGAGACCGCAACCCGTTCGAGAAAAAAATAGGGGCCTTAATAATTACCTATACTGTTTTGGGGGTTCCTCCTTATTATAGCTATAGTAAATAGACCCCAAAACCCTATTCTACTTATTAAGGCCCCTATATTACGACGGAAGGGCTGAAGATTCAGCTACTCTTGGATCGTTTACACAGGCCTGTGGGTAGTTGCTGAGGGTATGGTTGGGGTCCCCCCGATCTGTAGCAGTTGGACAATATCTCTAATAGAATTATGTGCAGCCCTTACTATGACCCTTGACATAGACTATTACCCAAGGTATGGTTTAGGTTAGGGTTCAAGTTTGGGAAGCAATCAATCCTGTGGAAGGCCTGTTTCCATGGTTCGGCGATTCTTGCGCCACAACTATGTCAGAATGCCTTCGTGCAAGAGTTGTTGATTGCTTCTTGCAGAGTATTGCTGGCGACGCAGTGTCTTGGGAGAGCAGACCTTGCCCAGCAGACAATGGCCGAAAGCAGCCTTCTGTCGTTTATTGGCGACCATGAAGAAGGTACATCGTATGGACTAACAGTGGCAGGATGGAAAAACAGTCCAGCAAGAATCGAACAGGCGACGGAGCCCAACCGAACCCTCCTTGTTGGCCCGGGTGGCATGGCAAGTGCGACAAAGGCCGAGACAAAGCCCAAGGCAGCGGCAGTGACCGAAGTGGCAATCCTGCCTAGAGCTCAGTGGCAGAGCACACAGGAGAGAGAGAGAGCGCGAGGGATAGAGAGAGAGAGAGAGACAGAGAGATAGCATGCTTTTGCTTGTGAAGGCCGAGCAAGAATCCCCCCTCCAAGTGGCGGCGGTCCAGCAGCTGCAGCGAGAAATCGACAGACTGAAAGCGGAATCTGAAGAGGCTCGCAACAACACGGCACACTGAGACCCTATTGGACGTGCATCGGGCCTGAGTTGAACGGCAGTGGCCCACTGCAGTAGGCCCGTAGATTCTCCGAAGGCAGCTCGGGCTTCATTGATAAACATTACTCTCATGACCGACGCCGTGCTGTGGCAAACAGCCATGCGCTTTGCAGCGCCGCAGCTGTGTCGCAGGAAAGCTGGGCCTGCTTCAGGTAATGCTTTATGTTATTATCGGGAAGCTTCTCGTGGTAGAAAGCGGGAAGGTCTGGCAACAAAGTCGTCTTGTTGGTGAATGTTTTCACCAGGGTCTGAAGCTGTGCTCCGTGGCACTTGGCTGTAAACTGCTGCGCCGCAAACTCCGAACTTTATCCAGTGGTTTCATGCTCGGCAAGATTGGCATTTGGCATTGCTTCAACATAGCCTGCTGAAGTGACTTCCCAAGCGCAATGCCAGGGATGCTTCTTTCGGGGAACGTGTCAAAAATTCTCTCTTTCTCCGCAGTGACGATCATCCAAGCACCATGCTCATGTTTGGAGGACTTGTCCGTGATGTGAACTGCCAGAAAATCATTTCGGCATGTCAGGCCTATTTGGAGAATCCAAGCTTGTCCTGCAGAAGGTATCAATGTTGTTCGAGTCTTATTCGAAATTCCAGTACGTCTTCGGAGACTTTCCAGCTATTTGGCTGTGATATCAATCCCAGCGGCGGGAACTTCTGCTTGGAGGCGGTCTGTTCTGTTCTTCTTCGGTAGCCGCGGCCTGCTGGCTCGAAGTTGGGTAAAAGCCTACGGCTCTTGAGGAGGGTCAGGCCGGGGTTACCGTGGAAAGTGGAGCAAACATTGAAACGCCTGAACTGTGGACTGCGATGGGAACCTTTGCGGCTCGAATGTCGCCCTCGTCCTGCCCTTGCTGCGTGCGCTGGCACGGATGGGCAGCTGCGCTGAGCATCTGCATTGAGGAGTTTTAAGCGTGCCTCAGGCTCGTGCGCTGTGCGCCGGCCGGGCTGCTGCTGCATCAGATCTAGGGGGAAGGGGGGATGGGAAGTGAGGTGTGGGGGAGGTTAGGTGAATGTTCATTTCGAGGTTTAGGTTGGTGGTCTCCTCCACAACCTTCAGCTTGAGCTCCTGCACTCGAAACCCCGCCTTTCCGACACCCGTTAGTTGGGCCCTGCAACCACAAAACTTGCAACCCTAATTCAACTTCAAGCCTTAAAGCCCCGAGCCCGAACCTCGAAGTAAGAACTACATCCTCAGCTGTTTTGCCAAGCCCCCCGCGGCATTCTACACAGGAGCTTCCACCCAACTTCCTCGACGCCCGGCCCCCCCAAGCAAACTGACACGGAATGAATAACAACTTGTTTGAGAGGGGGGGGGGCTCCTCTACGTACGGCCGGGCTGTTGGGCTCTAGTGTACCAGTACTAAGACTAGTGCTGGCAATGGTGGTGGTAGTAGTAGTAGTAGCAGTAGCATTGTTCACAGATCGGGCCGCGAAAGCTTTTGCATTTTTGGGGAGGATGCTGGGCCGAAATGAGAAAGCTTGGTGTTATTGGGGACCAGCGAACTGCCGAGGCTGCTCAATGCTCAGATACCTCAGGAAAATCTTGATATTATTGGGTACCACCAAAAATAGTTAACAAAATTGAAGGCGGAGAAAATGCTTGTAATTAAGGTTGGCCCCTGGTGAATTTGTTTTTCTTAATTGGGGTCCCCCTAATCCTATCTTCCACAGAACCGGGGGTTGCAAAAATGTTTTCCCTTATTGAAGTACCCCAAACATTTTCAGGGCCGGAATAAGGGCGAAAATGTTCGAATTGTTTCCTGTTGGGGTACCCCCAAACAATCACCTGCTCGGAGAAACCCGCACGAAAAAAAAATATTGGGGGGCCGCCCCGTCTGCACGCGATCTTCGGGCGGCATGATGAGAGCATCTACTATGCCGCCACGCCGCTGCTGTCATCACCTTCAGCGGCCTATGTATTGCGCGGGGGTCAGTGCAAGGAGCACGCTTGGTTGTGGATATTCGCTTGTCTGTGAGCGCGTTCATGGACACATTTCTTGTGAGAGGCCAATGCTCGCCTGCCGCTGTTGGCGACCCCAAGCCTTAAAACAGTCAGCGTGGATGACTGCACGGTAGAGGTCATTGAGCGGCGCAGGTGTCGCAACAAGACCATCAAATTATCCGTCTTGTTGAGCTTTGTTGCTTGAAAGCTCGAGCGGCCAGCAGGTGTAGGTGCATCGGGTCCCAAACCTGATGCCCTAATTCGTTAAACCCTGTCTGTCCTCGATCGACCCTAGTCAGTCCTGGCAACCCGCTGCGAGTGTCGCGTTGTGGATTGTTGCACCTCTGTGGTTTCTAGTGGACGTCCTTGTATGAAAGATCGTAATTTCCTCGGGTCGACATTCGCTTTAGGGTTTAGATGGGGTTCATAGTAAAACCATAAAGTTGGAGCATGGGCTTAGGATGATCAGTCACGGGCTTACCAGAGTTTGATAACTTTCCGTCTTGCGCTCTAGGGGATCTTGTTATCCTGGTCCAGATCATTGGGTTTAGGTGTAATGTAGGGTTTAGGCGGATCCTGCTATTTCCCGGATAGTTGCGAATTCCAGAACCTGAGGCCGTAGAACCATAAAGCTCAACCCACAGCCCTTCAATTGAAGCCTTGCAATTCAACCCCCTGTGATACCCATTTCATCTGAAGCCGTTCACGGGTTCAGGGCTGACTGACACAGAATTAGGTGGGGTTTTTGGACCTTCCATTTTTCGGAGATTTCCACGCAAGCCGCGAGAAGACATTGCAATTCGGCCTGCTTGTGGGTTCAGGAATTTGTGTGCATCGGGATCTCCGGGTTGAGGATGATGGAGCTTGCGGGCGGTTGTTGTTTAGAGAAGCCTTGGCAAACCAAGCATCGTTTAGTCACCATTTGATTGCAACTGCATGCGACAACGAAGGGTCTGACTTCGACGATTGCTGCTGCCGCAGCTATTCGCACAGCTGCTGCTGCTAGAGACATCCACCAGCACCACCAGTGAGACCTGCTACATGCCAGCTTCCAGCTACTGGGATAGAGTCTTTAGCAACCTGTTGCTGAAGTCAGGCTCTTGGGTGTCGCGGCACGAAATGACACTTGGGATGCAGGTATGTCTGGTCGCTTCAGGTTTTCGCTTGAGAGTTTTTGGGTTGAGGACGGTTCAATGTGCGATCTTTTCGCATCAAGTTTGATCAATTAGCTGACCAGCGGGACGAACTGACCGACTTTCCTCGTGATACGTCCGCTTGCTCAACATATTCTGTGCCGGCGAGAAGCTGGTATGACTTGTCCTAGCACCAACACCGCTACTGCTAGTCCATTGCTGGCCGCAACTTTTGCCATCGTTATGTTTTGAAAACATCAAGGAGCTGTCATGAATGGTTGCTTCCATCAAGAACAGAAGTCGAAAGAGTGTGTGTGTGTGTGTGGTAAACTCCTAAACCTTAAACAGCCCAGGAACAACTTCTTGACGGAGTTTCTGGGCTTGAGGCCCTTGGTGGGATTCGGGATCTGTGGCTTTGGGATTCCCAGGGCTGTGATGAGGAAGCCTAGGAATGATTGTGCTTGTTAAGGCGCCTGTATATATTAAACCCTTATCATACCCATTCAAGAATCTGAAGAATCCTAGGAATAATTTCGTTTATTAAGAACCTTTTATCTCTTAAACCCTTCTAATACCCATAAAGAACTGACGGGGGTGCAGCGCTGCCGGGCTTTCTGACTTCTGGGTTGCCCTCCGTGGACTTGGGCATAGGTCTGCGACGTCTGGATCGGAAGGAGTTGCGAGACCATTCTTGCAAACTATCCCCACATAGTAGGATTATTGTAAAATATCCCCAAATAGTAGGATCGCTTTTCAGGGACTTCAAGATTTTGCGAACTCCGCAAATGAGGGCTGAAAGACCCCAATAGACGAGCAAGCACCGAGCTGCGTCATGGGTTTGTTATCCCCAGCCAGGTAGGCTCGTGAGGGGGCTTCAATCGAAAGTTTGCAAAATCAGGGTGAGCTTTCTTAGGGATCCTTACAAGAAGGATTTTGCCTTCTAGGGTCAGGGTTCAAATCAGGGTTTGCTCACTTTCTAGACATCCCATATACTAAGACAGGACATCGCACGTGGCTTGTCAGAGTTGTTGGTTGAAGTTGCTTGCGTTTGGAGCCATGTATACAGGGCGGATATGGTTATCCAGTCTTTCGAGAAACTGCCCACGTGCAAGCCATGTGTGCCAGACCCGTAGCCTCAACCCCCAAGTCTTAAACCAGTCCCCACAGCTCCGAAGCGCTCATCCTTTACCATGCCTAAACCCGGAACTTCGAAATCCTCAACAATCCTACAGTAAACCTTAACCCAAACCCTTAATTGGACAGGGGCCTTGAGCTGAACATGGTGGCGCAGGCAAGGAACGGCATCCTCGGTGTCGACAGGGCTTCTTTGGGTTTTACAGTTTCGGATCTGAGGGCAAAGTGAATGGTTATGGGTTTAGGGTTTAGTGTCGAAGGGCTTGGGGTGTCGTTTTGGATTTAGGGTTCCTGTTTGATCTTTTCTCCCAGCCGCCACGGGCCATAGCGGCCGTCGCTTTTCGGCTTGCATGTGGCCCGCTTCTGCACGGGACCTCCCTTAAGCGGCGTGAGCGAGTGAGCGAGTGAAAAACTGTTTGAGGTTTAGGGTTTGTTGATTTTACACCCTAGCCGCAGGGTTTCAGAGGTTTGGAGGGGTTGCAATATTCGTGCCGACCCCATTAAAGAACCCTATAAGCCTCATATACCCTCTATGGGCGTCCTATGATCCAAAGTGTCAGCCTTGGATCTGAAGCCCTGAACCTGAACCAGAAGCCCGAAACTATAGACATTAATACAGGGGCCTAAATAATTGGCACTAGTATTTTAGGGGTTCCTTATTATAGTTATAGTATAGTGGGCCCACCAACTCTGTCTAATCATAAAGGCAAATAGAGTACCCGCACCCCTAGACCCCCACGTCCTTAACCCCAAACGCGAGACTGGCGACATCCCTCAACCCTAAAGCCCTAAAGGCTTCATCAACCCTGAACTTAAACCTTTCCAGACCCGCAACCCCTTACTCCCAGCTCCCCTACCCCAACACCCCTCATTACACCCTCAACCCCGCAAACCCCAAATCCCGCCCTAAACCCCAAACCCCGCATCCCCAAACCCTACACCCCAAACCCCCAAATCCCATACTCGACAATCTAAACACACCTGAAACCTCCATTCGTGCCCCAAGCGTCTCTCATGTCCATGCACAACATAGCCGCGATGGCAGGCCCTCTTCGGCACGCTCGACCTGGAGCCCCGGCTGCTGTTTGTTTGGTTGTGTGTTTGTGTTTGTGTTTGTGTTTGTTTGTTTGTTTTTTGTTGTGTGTGTGTGTTTGTTTGTTTGTTTCAATTGTGTTTTGTTTCACGTGCATTAGTGCATGCTGTTGGTTTGTTTTGGTGTTGTGTCCACTTTGCCGCGGCTTTGTTGTAGGGCATTCGGGGGTTTAAACAAGATGAGGTTCAGGTTCAGGGATACTGCAAGCATGACGAGTTAGTCGAAGGCTGTGGCAACACTACAAGTAGTTCCTTCTGCAACTTGTGCAGCTGGTTACTGTGCCAATACCTGAAAGCCCGACGGATGAACTCCCATGCGCCTCGAGCGCCAGGGGTAGTATGAATGTAGGGGATTAATATAGGTCTCCAAATAAATACCAATGCTATTCTTGTTCTAGGGGGTGTTCCTTACTAGAACGATACTACACTGTCCCCAAAACCGTATTCTAATCATGATTAATGAGGCCCTTTACGATCCCCTTATAATGGTACCCCTTATAGAACCCTTTTAAGGACCTCTTCGAAGGAACCCTATTCTAGATATTATGGCCCTATATTAGAATCACACAGTTGATAAGGCATCTCCTTTAGGGTTTAGGGTATAAAACCCCGTCCAAAACCTCATAACACGTATGAAGCCCTTACAAACCGTGTAAAATGCCCATAGAAGCCCTGACTGACGGCTGTCTAACACTTCCTAGTTGCGTTTCGGCAGTTAGGTGTTCTACAGGACTGTCAAGCCCTACACCATTAGAGGGGTAAGGGGGAAGGGTGCCGGGCCGTAATCGCCCTAATAAGGACTTGAGAATACTACAGTAGAGACCCACCCGCCAGCAACCAAAATAGCAGCAGCGAGTAGAAGATTCGATTCCAACCTTCGCAATTAGGTTCCTGAGTAGTACCCGTTTGCCCTTCCTAATTTGGGGGTCGCACGTTTAGTGTTTAATTTAGAGGCCACTCAGGAACCTAGACAACAGCCTTAGCACCTCACCTGAAGCCCAACAGCAATGGATCCGAAACTCTGAAAATGACGAACAAGAAAATCTGAACAAGAAGAAGAACGATTGTAAGCGGAATATAGGGCCTGAATAAGTGTAATAAGGTTTGTGGGGTATCTTACTGTGTAGCCATATTAATTAAGATTATCGAACCCTGCGGAGTAGCATTGCTAACGATTTGCACCTTTTTAGACCTGGCTGCTGAATTTCCGTCCCAAGGAGCGCGAAGGCCAGATCTGTCAGGTGCACGCCTTGCGACGGTTTAGGGTTTAAGGGTTTAGGGGTTTAGGGTCTAGGGTTTGGGTTTAGGGGTTTAGGTTTAGGGGTTTAGGTTTTAGGGTTTAGGGGTCCGGGTGAGGGCTCGGGGGGCTCAGAGCTAGGCACGGCGGCTTACACCGGGAGGAGCAAGGTCAGGTTGCATCCTCTACTTACACCTTCTACTTGGAGGGTCGGGGGACTTAGTAACTAGTTATTCTATAGAGTTATAAGTACCATAACCCCAATTAGGATCCCTATTAAGGTACATATAACTCTATATACTAACTACTCACTAAGTCCCCCCGACCCTCCAAGTAATCATCCCACATGAAATCCTCAACCTTAACCCTAAACCCAATATTAGATCCTACAGCACAGCCTTAACCCTAAACCCAACAATATCCTGATGCTTTCACCCTGAACTCATCTGCGTTTCTTGTATCTTGGCATTCGGACCAAGTGAAGCATGGTATTTGATTTTCCTGCTTCGCTACTTGACACATCCATGTTAGCAACATAACAGTTCGATACTGGCAGCTTTAGCTTCGATGTTGGCCGGCAGAAAGATCAAAGGACCTTCATGACAGCCCTACTTGGAGGATGCGTTGCTACACCGTCTGGAAGAACCTCCTTCGATGAAGGCCCGGCCAGGGCTCACAGGGGACTTCGGCTTACCTAAGCGAAATGTTGTTTAGAGCCACGGTTTAAGGGTTTAGGGTTTAGGGTTTAGGGTCCGGGTTCTATGCAGGTCACTGGAGACACCCTAAAAACCCTACGCCCCAACCCTAAACCCTAAACTCCAAACCATCCCAAACCCGAAAAACTCCAAGCCCTAAACCCCAAACTCTAAACCCTAAACTCCAAACCCTAAACCCCAAGCCCTAAACCCCAAACTCTAAACCCTAAACTCCAAACCATCCCAAACCCTAAACCCCACCCCAAGCCCCAAAACCCCAAACTCTAAACCCTAAACTCCAAACCATCCCAAACCCTAAACTTTAAACCCCAAGCCCTAAACCCCAAGCTCTAAACCCTAAACTCCAAACCATCCCAAACCCTAAACCCCAAACCCTAAACCCCAAACTCTAAACCCTAAACTCCAAACCATCCCAAACCCTAAACTTTAAACCCCAAGCCCTAAACCCCAAGCTCTAAACCCTAAACTCCAAACCATCCCAAACCCTAAACCCCAAACCCTAAACCCCAAACTCTAAACCCTAAACTCCAAACCATCCCAAACCCTAAACTTTAAACCCCAAGCCCTAAACCCCAAGCTCTAAACCCTAAACTCCAAACCATCCCAAACCCTAAACCCCAAACCCTAAACCCCAAACTCTAAACCCTAACCCCCAAACCATCCCAAACCCTAAACTCCAAACCATCCCAAACCCTAAACTCCAAACCATCCCAAACCCTAAACCCCAAACAAAAATTCCTAAACTCCAAACCATCCCAAACGCTAAACCCCAAACCCTAAAACCCCCCAAACTCAAACCCCAAACTCCAAACCCCAGACCCTCTCGGTGCTTTTGGCCCCGGCCACTCGCACTTGGTTCCCTGGAGCTGATGATGGAGCAGCGCTCACGTGGCTCGTCGTTGTTGGCGGGGTTGCTGCAGTCCACCTTAAGGCTGACATTTGAGCAGATCCGTGAACTGCTACGAGCCAGAGCAAAGGAATGTATGCTCTCCTTGGCACGGTGGCTTTGCTTCTTCCACTCAACGTTTGGCGCCATGGATACCCACCCACCCACCCACCCACCCACCCACGGCCCATGGACTCAACTAGGGTCCCTTTAAGGGTGATCTAAGGGCTCCTTTCAGGGGTCCATAAGGGTTCTACATGGATTTAGGGTATAGCGGTCCCTGGACTCAAGGGGCTGGTGCAAACACTTCTGCCATGCCGACGGGGCATCCTTGAGTTCGTGCACCGGTGCGAAGCAACGTGGTCCTCGTACCGGTCACCTGGTATCTGGCTCTGGCGACCACTCTTGTGATGATGTCGGTTTAGGGTTTAGGGTTCCTTTAAAGGGATCTATAAGGTTTAGGGTTTAGCGAGCTTAGGTTTATGTTTAAAGTTTCAGGGGTCGAGGGCACAGGGGGGTTGCTGCAGAAGGATCGCCGCACTTGCGGAGCAGCCGGTGCCACGGGCACTACGCTTGCATGGAATTAACGAAGGGCTATCTCTGCTAGGAGTTTTGGGTTTCACATAGAAGGTGCAATAACGAATAGCCCTTGCTTTTTGTCCCAAATCATAGTGTCTTTTAACCCCATTCTGATTATTCAGGCCCCATTTTTGAGGGCGATTTAGGGTGCATGGTTCAGGAGTAGACGATGAAGCAACGAGAGAAGTGCCGGCGCCGTGTCTAGCATTAAGAGAAGTAATAACAGTAGTAGTAGCAATAATAATAATCATCATAATCATAATAATCATAATAATAGTAGTACTAGTCATAATAGCAATACTAATAATAGCATTTAGGCCATAAGTGCGTAGAAGCTTAGGGCCTGGAAGGCTCTGTTTTGGAAGGCAGGTGAGGCTCGTAAAATCATGGATGCTCATAGCGGAGGGTTTAGGGCTTACCTTAACCCTGAATAACCTACCTTTTTTGGGTCCCCTATTATGATTTCCTTTTCTAATCCTGAAAAAGGTAGGTTCTTCAGGGTTAAGGTAGGGTTTAGGGTTTAGAGACGTTAGTAGCTGACCAGGTATGAACATCTTGGGGGTTGCAGAACCCCGCCGCAATTGAAAGGTTAACCTTGTTGGGCCAGGGAACTCGGCAATTAGGTAGATTACGAAGATTCCACTGCCTGCCGTCCTGGAGTCAGTTCTAATGGGGGCTTGAACTAACAACACAATATACTTCACGCACAATATTACTACTTCACCCTCCTTATTATTCGCATACTAGGATATAGGCAAAACCCTTCGTTGCCCGCATGTTCACGGCAGGATCTTGTCCACGAGCGCTTGAACGGCGAACCTCCAAATCCTTATTACGCTTACCGCTTGAAACCGCAGACTCTCCGCACTAAAGCCCCCACATGCCCCCACAGAAGTTGATCCGAAAATCCTACACGGTGTGGGATCTTCACAGGTTTGCTGCAAGGGGCCTTATCCAGTTTTGGACCCCCAAAGCAATGTACCCTAAAAGCCTAAACCCCTAAAACCGTACACCCAAGAGTTCCTAGACGGCTGAACCCCAAAGCCCCAAACTCCTCAATTCGTTGAGCCTTTCAACTTGAACCCCTCAACCCTAACCCTAAACCCTAAACTCCTAAGCCCTATACCCCTAAACCTATACCCTAACCGCAAACCCTAAACCCCTAACCCCAAACCCTAAACCCCAAACCCCTAAACCCTCAACCAGCCTGACACCCTGAGCCTCGGAAAAGGATGTTTGGCTGGCCGACCTGGAGAACATTTGGCCGGGTAGGCAGGAGGTGGTACGGTGCGCCGCGCCTTAGAGTCACGAGAGGCTTTAGGGGCTTAGGGTTTCAGGGTTTAGGGTTTAGGGTTTAGGGGTTTAGGGTTTAGGGTTTAGGGTTTAGGGTTTAGGGTTTAGGGTTTAGGGTTTAGGGTTTAGGGTTTAGGGTTTAGGGTTTAGGGTTTAGGGTTTAGGGTTTAGGGTTTAGGGTTTAGGGTTTAGGGTTTAGGGTTTAGGTGTTAGGGTTTAGGGTTTAGGGTTTAGGGTTTAGGGTTTAGGGTTTAGGGTTTAGGGTTTAGGGTTTAGGGGCAGAACGCGTTTTAGGGGTCGGGCGGTTTAGGGTTTCAGGGTTTAGGCTTTAGGGCTTACCCGGCCGGGTTTTAGTGGTAAGGGTTTACCTAGTGTCGGCCCCTGATCGTTAAACCCCCTTGCCTAACAAGGATTGTAATGGGGATCCGCATCAGAAGTATTGCGCAACCCAGAATTCCATTCTAGCTGTAAGGTGCGTTGTTTCGGGGCTCTACGGTTTGGTCTGACACTATAAATGCATATACCAAAACTCCCGGTGAGACGGTTTAGGGTTCGGGGATGCGGTTTAGGGTTCGGGTTCTTAGGACGGGGCCACGTCTACGAAATTCAGGGCTCGGATCCAGGTACGCCCGGCGAACCGACCGGTCGAATTCCCCCCCACGCGTATCCTTGCCGACGGCCAGGCTCGCTTGAATTCAACCGGCTGGGTGACTTAGATTCGGGGCAATATAGGCGTCAAACAATTAGCCCTAAAATGTACACTCCTCATATTTTGTATTGTACTTCAAAGAACTACCTAGGAGCTAAATGTCCTACCTTGTTAAGGACATGTATAAGGAAATCATACAAAGGAAACCCAAGAAGGTCTAAACTCTGAGCCCGAAACCTTACACCCAAAACCTTAAAACCTAAACCCTAAAGCTTAAACCCTACCGAAAACCTTAAATCCTAAACCCTCGCGACCCTAAACCCTTAACCGAAAGCCTCAAACCCTGGTTTGTTGCAGGCTCAGGGGCTGCGCGCGAATAGACAGAAAAGGAGACAAACAAAGAAGCACCTTCGGATTATGGGTTCGGTTTTTAGGACTTCGGGTTTAGGGTGTTAGGGTTTAGGATTTTAGGGTTTAGGCTATTATTAGGGTTTTAGGGTTTAGGGTTTTGGGGTTTCAGGGTTTCGGGTTTTAGGGTTTAGGGTTTTACGATTTAGGGTTGAGGGTTTTAGGGTTTTATAGGTTAAGGGTTTTAGGGTTTAAGGCTTTAGGTTTTTAGGGTTTAAGGTTTTAGGGTTTAGGGTTTAGGCTTTTAGGGTTTTAGGGTTTTAGGGTTTAGGGTTTTCGGGTTTTAGGGTTCAGGGTTTCAGGGGTTTAGGGTTTAGGGGCTGTGGCCTTGGGGCGGATAGTTTTAGTTGGGGCTCTCCAGCATGTTTGCAATATCAAACACTCTTCACAACCCCTAGTACGCAACGTCAAGGTCGTGTTCCCTGACTTCTTGTTTCTTCAGTGGATTCCGTTTGGAGGTTTAGGCAACTGTTATATAGCTGCGATCAGTTCCAACCCCAACTAAGTTGATTTGTCTACCCCGCTCTGTGGAGATCTGCGAACGCAATCCCAGGCAACAACACCAAACCCACGAGCCAGACTGCTGATAGACACAACCCTGCATGAAGTGAAGCAGCATAGCCTAGACACTGTGAGGTATGGTATATTGCGTACAAGGGCAATGCAGGAGTTTGTCCATCAACCGTAGAAACCGACATTGAACCCTTGACCCTGAACCGTGAACCAACCCAAAACCTAGGTGGCAATTTGGGAAACTGTTGAATTTCCTTTAGGGTTCCTATAGAGGTACCTGTTCGTAAATACTTTTCAGAGCCCCGAAACCACAACCTAATCGACATTGAAGTCTCTGAATGTCCAGGCGACCCCGTAGCGGCAGTCGCCCAGGCCAGGGCAGTCTGTCCAAGTGCTAACAAAGGGGTCGGAAGAATTACTAAAAGGATTCCCTTATAGCAACTCTAGTATAAAATCCCCATTCCCGCAGAGCAACTACGGACGATAATATACGATCCCCCAAAACCCTATTCTAAAAATTAACTATCGTACAACATCCTCCAAAACCCTATTCTTTCCATTAAGGGCCCCAGATAAGCTCTGAAAGTCATTTCAAAGCTGGACCCGGGGAAACTGCTGGCTCCTGAACAACTACCGCATCTAGGACTTAAACCGGTTTAGGGTGTAGGGGTGCTCTAAGAGAGGGTAGAAATAAATCCCCATAGTAGCCCTGGCAGTGACCCTTATATGGAACCTCAAAAAGCGCCAAAATGCTTCTCAGGAGAAGATCCTTTTCCCAAGGTCTCTCTCCTAGTCGATCATTTGTAAGATCCCGACTTGGGGCGATATGGGAGTTTCCGAAAATTCGGTGTTACCTTATTGTTTTGGGGTCCTTATAATAGGGATCCTATTATGTAGGGTACTACATTAGGTTCCCCTATTTTCGGAAGCTCCCACAACTGTTTAGGCTTTAGGCTTACTCAGCTATTTGCGAAGCCTGATCCTTAGAGTATGAGCCTCCCTAAACCTCTAAAGCATGTTCCATCGGAGCAGTGAGGGGCTTGCTGTGAAAGCGTCCGGCTAAAGTTCCGACCGCTTGGTGCTCCTTTCCGTATGAGCTCGCAACCACTCCGCTATGAACGGTATGCGAAACTCTATGAAACCCACACTCTTGGGCCCTGCCTGTTAAGGCTTAGGGTTTTCGGCAGATCCTACTTAGGGATGAGAGGCTGAACTTTGGGCATTTTGGGTTGTGCACTTATAGTTCGTGCAGCATGGCAAAAAGCCGGCCTTCTCCGTCTGAGACTCGCAATGGTTTTGACGAAGCGTGAGCGCGGAGGCACAGAGATGTCCTGAGGTCTCAAATGCGAGAACCTTCGTCGTAAGAACCATTGTGATCCCAGTCCCCCTTCTGGATTCTGCTAGTCCACACTAATGCAACCTGACTCTGGACGGATCTTTCGTCCGGGCACAGGTAGCAATCACGCCTTGGCGTCATCGGCGTACGTGCACATACAGGAGTTTCCGAAAGTTAGGGTACCTTATTTGGGGGTCCTTATAATAAGGATCCCACTATTTAGGGTACTATACTGGGGTCCCCCATGTTCGGAAACTCCTATACCTGCAGACATTGTAAAGCAACGCAAGACCCACCAAAGTGCCCAAGCCTGCTCCGAGAGCTTCGATCCCCCAAAGCCGCGAACCCTAACCCTTGTAAGCCCTTAATAGCCCGAATAACCCTAAAACCCTAAAACCCCCAAACCCTAAACCCCTAAACCCTTAACCCCTAACCGTTAATCCCTAAACCCCTAAACCCTTAAACTTTAAACCCCTAAACACCTAAACCCTTAACCCCAAACCCTAAACCCTTAAACTCTAAACCCTGATCGTCCAAAACTGTGCAGGTTCGGCCTCTACCGCCCCTGGCGCTTGTAACCGGGCTGTGCGCCGAAGCTCCGCCAACTCCGCTGACTTCACAGGGTGGGCGTTTGGGATTTCTGGGGTTCCTGTATATAAGGTTCTATAAGGGTGAAGGAACTGGGGCTTCACGGTTGTGGGGTAAATGGTTGATCGGGGTACTGTAAGAAAGGTTCCATAAAGGCATTATATGGGTTTTGGGGCTGCTTGTACAGGCTTGGTAGAGCTTCAACAGGTTTTCGATGTTCCAATCATTTTGCAGGTTGGGTATTTGGGGTTGAAGGGATTTTAGATTTTGAGAGTGTTGGGTTAAGGGGTTTAGGAATTTAGGTTTGGGGGGTTAGGGTTTTGAGCTTGGGGGTTGCGGATAAAGACAATGAGGGTTTCGGGTAGTTGGGCTGCCGGTTCGGTGACCGCGGGGGGCCGGGGGACCCAGCGCCCAGTGGCCACGTCCCAAAGTTTGGTGTAAGGCTATGGGGGGTTGCGGGATTTCGGGCTCAATCAATGCGTTCACTGACGGTCAAGGGTGAGCTTGTGAGATAGAGTAAGGTTTAAAGACACATGTTCATTGTCACCTTTGGCCTTCGTGTCCCGAAACCCGAAACCCTACACCCTATATGCTTTATGGCATGATGTTTACCCTAAGCTGCCCTAAACACTCAGCCATCCGAAGCCCAAATCAAGGGCTCGAAAGATGGATGGGATTAGGGTCTAGGGGTTGAGGGTTCACGGGTTTAGGCCCTATTGGCATAGGTGGAGGTGGAGGGCTGGAGTGAGGTAGAAACCCCTCCAGCCCCTCAGAGCCTAAGCCGCAAATAATAGAGGATTCGAGTTTCGGCGGTTGGAATGTTGACACCACAAGCAATTTCTCAACACGTAGACAAACCATGGATGGACACGGAAACTCTGCATTCCTGAACCTTACTGCTGTAAAAGTTATAATCGTAGCCTTTAAAGCCTAAACTCTCAGCCTTAAACATTTAGTCTTAAACCCTGAGCCGCCAAACCCCCAAAACCCTAAACCCTGAAACCCTAGATTAGATCCTGAATAGTACGTCCTGACGAGGTCTCACACAGCCGTCCTCGCCAATGGGCGGCCCCACACTGCCCGGGCTTCGTCTTCTTTGGGGGTGCTTTTGGGGTCGGGCGTTGGAAGCCTTGGGTTCTCGGTGTTGAATGTAGGGGCCTTCTTTTAATTAGCAATATGATTTGTGTTTTTTTTTTTTTGAGGGGGGGTCCTTCTTATATCAACTAGTATAGTAAGTATAAGATACCCCAAAACCCTATTCTCATAGTTAAGGCCCCTACATTAGATATTTGTAGGGTTTGTGTTGCAGGGATAGTCGCTCCCCGAGCCCACCTCCGCCCACGCGGGGGATGTGTGTAGCGGCCGCAGTAGTGGCGGTGGCTTTGATTGCAAAGCCGGCGTTCATAATATGGGGGCCTAAATAATTACCTATACTCTTTTGGGGGGGTTCCTTATCATAATCATAGTATCATGGGCCCCAAAACCCTATTCTAGTTATTAAGGCCCTATATTACGTCTTAAGCCAAATCACCTAAGGTGCAAATGCTTGGCTTAAGCTTGGGCACAACAACCGAGCAGTTTGGAATTGGAGCCCAAAACCCTAAACCCCAAACCGTGCATGCGGTTTGAGTGTCGGTCTCTGGCAGAAAGATGCATTCTACTCTTGGAGCACAGGGTTGGTGGACGATTCCGCGGGACACTTCAAGCTTTTGTAGTTTAACAACTGAGAGAAAGAGAGGTGATTGCCTGCATGTGGAGGACGTCGTGTTTTGTTGCCTATCCTGCCGTCACCCTAAACCCTATGCACCGAACCCTTAAATCCTAAACCTCCACATGCCAAGGTTCATCTGAACCGGAAACCATAATCCAAAGCTCCCCAACCCTACAAACCCTACACCCTAAGGCCTCAGTGCCCTGAACCCTACACCCCAGACCCCCAAACCCTTAACAGTCTCCGAAGCAGCTGCGGCAAACAATCCAGGCCGGTTCCACCAGGGGCAGTCGAAGGAGCCAAGAAGGCCGCAAGAAGTTCTCAGTTTCATGCGGTAGCATACACCGCTCTTGGTGGCCGTTTAGTTGGACCTTTTTTGCGCATGGTTCTTCTATAGGGATCTCCCAGAATTGTGTTTTCCCCAAGGGGAGTAGGCTTGAATAAGTAATCAAAGGCTCCAAGTGGGAGTTTATGGTTTGCGGGTGTGGGATGGGGGTCTGAATCATTAGTAACGGTATCTGCTTGCAGCCCAAATCCTGTTTGTGTTGCTTTTGTGTCGAGGGGGTGCTTGGGATTGAGGTCCGCCGCTTGAGAATTCTGAGACAACCTGACAAAGGATTGAAGGTTCATAGAATGCAGAGAGTCATAACTTCGTAACAGGTTTAAGGCTTTGGGGTTTCAGCGTTGCCTTTGGAGCTTCCCTTTGAGCAGACCCCTGCAAGGCTTCGCGTACACTGCTCCCGCTGCGGACAATCGCCGCAGTCGCCGCTCGTCTGATTTTAGGCTTAGAGCTTTGGGTCTTAAATGGTTCAGCGTTTAGGGATTATTAGACCCTTGACCCTCAACCCTGAACACGAAACCCTGAGTCGTGGTGGTTCGATTTTAGGTTAGGAGCGGACGACGTGTCACTCCCGGAGGCTAAAGCGAGCCTAGAGCCTAGGCATTTGTTAAGGCCTTTATACTGGGTAGCAATGTCGATTTGCAGGTGCCAAATCTAGGCTTCTCGTGATTCTTGTCATTCTGCTTAATGTCATACACATGTGTATATATATATATATGTATATGAAAATGTGTGTATGTATGTATGTATGTATGTATGCATGTATACACGGACTGACATGAAAACAGAAAGCATAGGTAAAGATACAGATATAGATGTGGATATGGTCATATCCTGTCATAGATCCAACATAGTCAAACTCGAATATGGCCCAAACCTCATGCACCTCATTGAGACCCCTTATTTACAGCACTTGAAGAGACTATTGCAACTGAGGATCTCATTGTTAGGGGCTGGGGTTGGTTAGGGTCTCGAGCTGTTTGGGGTTTAGGGTTGAGGGCTGTTTGGGGTTTAGGGTTGCGGGCTGTTTGGGGTTTCAGGGTTCAGGGCTGTTCGGAGTTTAGGGTTTTGGGCTGTTTGGGGTTTCAGGGTTGAGGGCTGTTTGGGGTTTAAGGCAGCTTGAGTCTTAGGGTTGTATTTACTCAAGTTGAAGTGCTCTTGCAGACGTATTGAAGCCGAAGCCCAAAATGTAACACTCTGCTACGTACGATGCCTAAAGGCGAAGACCCTTAAACCCGACACCTTGAAGCCTAAAATTTCAGACCCGTAAACCTTTACCCAACTGGATATGAGACCAAAGCATGCGTTGCTCGATGGGTTGAGCGAAAGAGCTGACCCAGGTGCGACTGGCGACTTGCCACACGCAGAGGCACCCTGCCATCTTTGCTTGTTGTTATCGCGTTTTTGTATCATTGCTTGTTTCTGCAGGTAGCAGCTACGACGAGGGCGGATTTAGGTGTTGGGGCCTAGGGAGGTTTTCGGTAGGGCTTTGAGTGCATCTGTGTTAATGTTGGTTTCTATTGGCGTCGTGCTTGGTTCATCTGAAAACGGTTATTTGCATGATAAGTCGTGAGATGTCCGTGTGTTCTATCAGTATCCCCAGAACAACGCCCAGAACGGAAGCTCACCAATACAATTCCAAGGAGCCCAACATAGAGCCACCAAAACCCTAGTACAAACCCTACTTGGAGGTTCATGGGTAGTTCTAAATCGAGCTATAAGTCCCTAATATGGTTTTTAAGTATGGCTATCCTACTTCTAACCCCACTTATAACTGCCCATGAACCCCCCAAGTACTGCAACACAACCAAAGCCTTCCAAACCAGAACCCTGCGTTTTCTCGGTGAGCCGTCCTCCACAAACCCTACCTGGACCTTAGAAAGCCCGCAGATTTTGAGGACATGGTCCACAGAAACAGAGGCGAAAACCCTCCAGGTAAACACTAACCAACAAACTTAGCCTTCAGCCCGAATTACCCCTAAACCCTAAACCCCTAAACCCTAAACCCCTAAACCCTAACCCCTAAACCCTAAACTAGCCTTCAGCACGAAACCTAGTCCTCCTACCTGAAACCCTAAATGAGCGCTCAATGCTGCGAGCCGCAGCGCCACAGCCGGAAAGGGACCCCTGGCCCCTTTGAGAAGCCTTGTATGACCCCACGAGACCTCATGTAACTTTGAATAATTCTGAAAGATCCCCGACCTTCCAAATTCCTTGAATCCTTAAAAATGGTAAGATCCCTAATATGATTTGGCATATTTATTAGTGATTGGGTTTTGGAATCTGAGAAACCCTGAACGACGGACCTTTTTGAAGAACTGCCCAGAAGCCTCGATGAAACCCCATAATATGGGCAGTTCTCTATTTTCGGGTCGATCTTAGAGTCGTGTTTAGGATTGTGCCGTACCAGTTTGGGGTCCAAAAGAAAGTACCCCTATATTTCTTCCAGAACCATGCGGAGCTTTCTGTATGGGGCCTAAAAAGGACCCCTCATATAATCCTTTTACAGGCAAGGGTTTGTTGATCAGGTCTGGTCCCCTGGCCCTAAATCCTACCATGGCCCTAAAATCCCGGATGCCTAAACCCCTAAAGCAAAGATGCCCGAAATCTTGAACCCTTCGAAAACTGGGTCAGAGAGGTACAAGATCCCTAAAATCCCAAAACCTAGATGCCTGAACCCCAGAAGCATAAAGAAATTGAACCTCTGGGTCAGAGAGGTACAAGATCCTCACTGGCAGAGCACCGGTCAGCGCAAAAAAGAGAGCAGGGCTTTGGGTTTCAGGGCTTCGGCCAAATTTGGGCTTTGAAATTAGTTTCAGGGTTTTAGTGCTTCAAGCTTGCAGCGCTTGAGGGCTTGGGCTTCAGGGCTTTGATTGAGGGGTCAGGGCTTTGCAGTTTGTGGTTTAGGCTCTGCTGCAAGGTTGGATTGATTTGTTTGTTTCGGGTGGGATTTGGCTCATAGCTGTGTGCAAGGATGTCAGGCAATCCTTTTCGATTCGAGTAGTATTGTGGCTGCATTTGGCGTACCCTTGTTATAATGTTATAATATTGGGCCCCCAAGCATTACCAAGATCCCAAGCACTTGAACCGCTCGTAAACCCCATGCCAAAAGTCCCCAGCCCTAAACCCACAACCCCTTGGCCGAAACTCCAATACAACCCCAAGCCCTATACCCTATACGTCGATCTCCTAAATTCTCTACAAATTCTATGGCCTCTTAACTTAACCCCCCAGAAACCGAGAGCTTCAAAGCTTCCTAAGCTACAATATAGTAACTCCGAGCCACCTCCTCCCCCCCCTCCCCGCAAGACAGTGCAAAGCTTTCTTCAACCCCAAACCCTAAGCCCCAAGACGTGTAATATGGTACTTACCATACATATTCCCTTCTTCTCCCTGCTTGTAGTAATTATGGTTATACTATTACCTACCCCAAACCCGATTCTCATCATCGAGGCTCCGCTTACCTGTAGGGCTTAGGATCACTTGTGCCGGCTGCTGGAGAGCTCAAGCCAGTTACGAAGGGGCCGTGGGGCCAGGTGCTTGAGCCCAGGCCCGCCACAGTATGCTGAGGAGTTTGGGTCTTCGGTTTGGGGTTTAGGGTTTAGGGTTTGGTGCGAAGTTTGGGTCTTCGATTTGGGGTGTAGGGTTTCGGGATTAAGGTTTGGTGAGGTTAGGGTTCGGGGTTTAGGGTTTAGGGAGGAGTTGCGGTTCTCGGTGTTGGGTTCTCCGGTTTGGGGTTTCGGAGTTTGGGGCTTGGGGCTCTAGGAGTTTGGGGCTCTGAGGTCCTTGGGGCTTAGAGGTTGCGGGTTTAGGAGTCTGGGGCTTCAGTTTTAAGGTTTAGGGTTTGGGGTTTAGGGTTCTAGGTGCTTGGCGCAGTTTGGGGCTTGAGTTTCGGGTTGTCTAGGTGTTTGGGGCTATAAGGCTTGAGTTGGTTGATAAATGTGGGGGTTTGGTTTGGGTTCTAGAGGGGGTTAGGGGCTTGGGTTTGAGTTGCGGAACTTGGGGACCCCCCCACATTACAGCAGGAATCTGATTCTGGCTCTACAGACCCTTGAGAAACCTCATGAGACAGAGCCCTTCCTCGTTGACACCCGGCTCTACTGACTAACACCCGTGCAAGCCTGAGCCCCTGACTGCTTTCATCAATGCTCAACCGGAGCCTAAGCCCCGGACTCTCAACCCTTGTAAACCTGAAACCCCAGCCAAGTGCCACACACCCCGAAAGGGTGTGCACCGAACACTTCTCAACCCTAGCTACAAAACCTGCGAACGGACTGTGCACCCGAAACTTCTCAACCAAAACCTGCTATCCTTAACTCCACCGGGCGTCGTTTGACGGAGGCCGGTCCTCCTCCGTTCGGTCTTCATTGCCGCCTGAAGGCATCCTGGCAGAATGTGCCGAATGCACCAACAAGGTTCCGATGTATGGGGTTTTATCTTCAGAGTTAGCTAAACTGCCATGCTACAAAGACGCTGCCGTTCTCACTGGGAAGATTCGCATAAGCAGCGAACTGTGAGATTCATGGAGGGGTTTGCGACGCCAGGAGCGGTATTCTACAGCACCTACGAAGCCCTACGCGATGTCACATCATTATGCCTTCTGCTTCCGCACTGTTTCAATTGTATAGTCAGGTGTGGCCACTTAGCACCTGCTTCAGCCCCGTTCGCATCTTCATGCATCAGTAGGTTAAAAGCTCAACCCCAACCCTAAACCCAATACCCTAAACCCTAAGCCCTAAACCCTCAACCCTAAAACCAAACCTTAAACCTAAGCCCTACACCCGAAACCCTAAACCCGATACCCTAAGCCCTAAACCCTCAACCCTAAAACCACACCTTAAACCCAAACCCGAAACCCTAAACCCAAGCCCCAAACTAAACCCCAAAGCCCTGGACCCTAAGCCCTGAAGCCCCGTAGAACCCAGAGACTCCAATATCCCTTAATTAAGGAATATTCCTTAAATCATATTAGGGATCCTACTATAATTTAAGGCATATTCCTTAATTAAGGGATATTAGGCTCCCCTAAACCCTATACCCTATAGATCCCTTTAAGGATCCCTATAAGGAACCCTTAAGGTATATTCCTTAAGGGGTATTGGAGTCTCTGGGAAGCCCCAGGAGGCGCCTTTGCAAGATGAGCTCGGGCCCGAACAAGTGGGGCTTTCCGAAAACTAGGGGTCCCTTTAAAGGATTCCTTTAAAGGGGTCTATAAGGGTTCTATAAAGGGTTTTTTTAGGGTTTAGAGTTTCCGAAGGTCCGAAAACTAGGCATTCCTTATTTTGGGGTCCTTATGATAAGGATCCTACTAATTAGGATCCCCTATTTTCGGAAACCCCCAAGTTGCAGACGTGAGGAAACCTGCGAGGGTTTAGGGATTTTGGGGTTTAGGGGTTCAGGGTTCAGGGTTTAGGGTTCAGGCTTTAGGGTTTAGGGTTCAGGGTGTAGGGTTCAGGGTTGGGTTTGGGGTTTCAAGGTTTAGGAGTTTCAGGGTTTAGGGCTTTCAGGGTTTAGGTTTGGGTTTAAGCTTTCGGGTCGGTTGAGGGTTTAGGGTTTTAGGCTTTAGGGATTTCAGGGTTTAGGGCTAAGGATTTAGAGTTAGGGGTTTCGGTGGGTTTTGGGGGGTTTCAGAGGTTTCAGGGTTTAGGGATGCAGGGCTGCATTTAGGGGTCACATGTCGACGGTACTTAGGGTTTTCGTGTAAAGCCGCTGAAGCAAGTATGGCGACGAGGACTTCTCATGATGAGGATGCGACTACACTAGCTAGTACTACTGCTCCTACCTTGGTTCCAGTGCTACTCGTAACTCGACTATAACTATCCACACCTATGTTCGTTCGCCTCATCTTCCCAGTGTAACTGGAAGTATGAACATGAGCCGTATCTTTCGAGCCGTGTGCAACTTGGTTGCTGCAGTTTCTGCAGTCATTATCTATCGCCAGTGGCAGCATCACTACGAGTGCTACCATGATTTGCTTTGCTAGGAGGTGCCAGCACCATTAAACTTTCCACATAGTCATCACTATTGTGGGAACCTTGCACAGCTGTTATGTCCAGACGTTCCGTGTGACGGCTACCTGTTACGATTTGGCTTTGAGTAGTAGCATTACTGTCATTGCTCTATGGTTAGTCGTGTTGCTGCACTGTGTCACAATTCACAAGGACAATAAGGGGGGAGGGGGGTACGGGGCCTCAATACCTATAGTAAGGATGTAATAAGGCCTATGTAAGGAAGTATAGACCCCTACCCCCCTCCGCCCTACCCCGAGTGTCATCAGGTCAGTCTTCCCGGACACCGTACGACCACCTGCGCTACAGCAGGAGCCTCAGGGCCTTGTCGCTGCAGCCAGGGCGAAACACATGGACTGTG